GCATGACAACTATGGGTTTCCCCTGCAACAAGGATCAACCCACACAGATATTTGGCATGCCAATGCCTGCCTTGGTGAGGTATCCAGATACCAGATTAGTATTGTGCACTGCCTATAGTAGCTAGTATAAGTAGTTTCCAGAAACTCCTGTATCTAGCTTATTCTGCCCCTTTTCCATTAGCATTATACAGATCTGATTATCCCCTTACTGGATAGGCAGACTTATAATTGACTTGACTTGACATGCTTGACTTGACAGTGTTAGGGCAACACAGGCTGACTAAGTCTGCTCACCTAAGAGTGCCAAGAGTCTAAGCAGGCAACAAGGAAGTGGAGTAGACCTGATGACTAAGATCTATCTACAGTATAGGTACCTGTGGATGATCCTAAGAGACCAAGTCTGAAGAGACAGTCCCCAGGCAGAGTAGGCCTTATATTTATACCTCTGTGGTGGAACCTGCTAGAACATCTTGCTTACTCAGCCTAGTCAGGTGATCAGGTCATATGACCAAGGATGAGGTCATATGAGGTCATGCACAGCCATGCACAGCAGGTCACCTGACCATCCAATCCTTCCAGCAGGTTCCAGCACATGCCAAGGTATACCAGCCACTTCCATGTCATAAGTCATGTCTCTTGACCAAGCAATGAGCTGGTGCCCTGACAGACGGAGACCAACCTCCAAATTATACTGACCAACTTTTGATAGCTCAGCTTCAGGCTGACTCCAGGCATTTCTACCAACTTTCCCCCTCTCTCCCCTCTTTCCCTAGTGAGTTCTTGCACACCACCCATCAGATTGACTTATTCAGACCTCTGATATTTCAGACACCTTTTGGGTTGGATCAGCACTCTTATTATCTCTTGCCAAATAGTCTGCACATTTTGTTGCTCTGGATGGCTCATAACAAGGTTTGATCAATAGGCCATGTGCTGCTTCATGTGTCAGTAAAGAGAGCAAGATATGCCATGAAAATGTGTCTTACCTCAATGTTCAGTGCTCAAAAGAGATTCAGAATCTCCATCTTGTGGGTGGAACTGGGGGCGGAGAAGTCTGTGTCTTCCATTTTAGGTGAGGATGGTAACAATGCAAGATGTGTTCTAGATGACAGACTCTGGTGATAATATGACCAGAATGAACATAGCCACTCCTGAGGGAAGCATTTATTGAAAGGTATGCTCCCTTTGCATACCCTCCGGATTTTCTTGCCCATGTGTTCTTGTATTTGTCAGCAGCTTGCATAGCCACAACTCTCTACCATAGCTCTATGATAGCGTGACATAACTGTACAGAGTGGCAATGTAGAAGCCATGGGCTATGGATACTAATGGCTTTACATAGCCACTTTTTGACTATGTAATGGTGGATGTTATTTACTGATGCTCAGGCTGTGAACTTCAACGAGAAAGAAGCGCCGAAGGAAGTATTTTCACGTGAAAACCCTTCATTTTTCCTCTTTGCGTTTACCGCGCTCAACCACACACCTCAACACCTCACCACCATGCATCTCATGTACACGCTGGATGAGAACGGCAACCGGATATATACGTTGAAGGTGCGTCCACTTCTTTGATCGCAGAACGATGCTGATATGCGTTGGGTAGAAAATCACCGCTGTTGGAAAGGTGACCAAGTCTGCACATCCAGGTGCGTCCTCCACACACTCTACCTCCCTATCTCCATCTCCCATCTTCGTCTCCATCTCCATCTCCATCTCCCCAATTTCCGTCCTCGAACCGCAGAGCAACCTCTAACCTCCAAACAGCCCGCTTCTCCCCAGATGACAAGTTCTCCCGACATCGCGTGACGATCAAGAAACGCTGTGGGGTGCTCTTGACCCAGCTGCCGGCGAAGCCTTTGTAACCGTTTCGTGTGTTGTCGGTTGTGGGGGGATGGTGGGATGAGGGAGGTGCGGGATGAGAGGGAGGTGCGGGATGAGAGCCCAGGAGTTGGAGAGGCTTGGACTGAGCGAACTGGGCGAGGGCCAGGCATGCGTATCTGTCGCTACGCACATTCACACTTGTACCACATTCACTAATTCAACCTCTCCCAAGCCCACACCGGTCCATACTCCAGGAGCAGCTCCTCACCTACCCACCTGTCTGGTGAACAAAACAGCGGGAATCGCTCCCCGAATCAGTTCGCCACCCTCGGGTCGTGCGGTCAGAAGCCAAGTTTCTGTTCACCAGCTGTGGACTGTCAGAACTGCGTGCCTTCCCTCCTGCCCTCACGTCAGGCCAGGTCAGGTCAGGATCGACGTGTCTGCTCTTGTACTCCATGCACGCTACTTCAACCTCTCATAAGCCCGCACTCCCCGTACTCCAGGAGCAGCTCACCCACCCGCCTGCTTGGTGCATAATGAACAAAACAGCGGCCCCCGATCATTTCGCCACGCTCAACAACTACATGTGCCCTCTAACAGGCTTTTGGCAGTCCTACTAGTGTCTGGATCTACCAGCTGCGACGGACTGTCAGCTGCGTGCCTCTCCTCCTGCCCCCAGGTCAGGTCAGTCAGGTCAGGTCAGGATCGACGTCTGCTCCTTAGTCTTCCCGTGCTCCGCACGAAAACCAGCAGCGTCCGATTCCGAGTACGAGTACGAGGCCGACAACCACACCATCAAAACCTTTCTCGCAGCAGTATCGTAAATGCGGATGCGGTACCGGGCGCGAAGCGTACCTAACAGATAGCAGACTAGCAGACCACAGCAGCAGACAGAATGTGAACTCTGCTGGCATGACGTACCTCGCACCTCGCCCCGGCCCATTCACCCATTCACTCAGAACCTCCCACCCTTTCCTGGCTTACGGTCCCGCAACAGGGACCCTCCTCTGCCGAGGTAGCCCCTCATCCTGTACCTGTCTGCTGTCTTCCTGCGGTCTAGACAAGAAGGGTACAAATAGAGCTGCGATTAGACAAATAAGTACGAAGGTGTACGAAGGTGTTTAACAAAGTGTTCAACAAAGTGTTCTTTGCTCTTTGACATTTTAGTTCGGGAGTTGGGGTCTATTGGCCCCGTGTAGCCTGTGGAGCTCATAGGGCTCAACAGCCAGCGTCAACAGGCGCATTTTCCCCTTTTGCCCCCTTGCTCTTCTTGCTCTTCCTGCTCTTCCTGCTCTTCCTGCTCTTCCTGCTCTTCTTCCCTTTCCCTACCCAAGTGGCAGCGCACCCCTTCCTCCCCTTTCCTCCCTGCAGCACCCCCCTCCCCCTCTCCCCCCTCCTCCCCAGCTCGTTCCCGCACTCATCTCGAGCGCAACAACACCTCCCCACTCAACCCTCTCAATGCCTCCCTCGCCCCGCTCTCCGGAAGAAGGCTGAGCGCGTCCAGCGCTGCTGTTACGTGTTGTTCTGCGAGCTCGCGCGTGCGGGGGATTGAGGATGAGGTGTGGATGAGCTCCAGGGCCTGGGCGGGTGTCATCGGATCAGCATCAGCATCAGCAACAGGAGCGGCCATTGGGACGTACCCTCGGTACATCCCCCTCCTTTTCAAACTTCCTCGCGACCAACTCCCCCATCTCCTTATGTTCCTCCCAGGCAAACAGCGCAGGCGCAGTCGCCAGGCCCAAACGGAGGTCCGCGCCGTCTGACGGTTTCCCGAGCGTAGCAGCAGAAGAGGTAAAGTCTAGCATATCATCCACCAACTGCATCATATCAGCTGCGCACCCATACCCCACCCTGCAAGAAGGAAGGAAGGAGGAATGGAGGGGACAGACCTGGAACGCGATCCCCAAATTACGCCCAAAAGCGTAAGCGACATCTTTCACCTCTATCCCACCATCCAACCTCCCACCGCCGCCTAGAATCACCCCTGCCCTCGCGCTTTTCGCCATGAGACTCGCGGTCTTGAGGTATGTTTTCTGCATGTAGTGTTGCCATGCCATTAGGCGGGCCTGCGCTTGGGGTTCCTGCGCTTGGGGTTGTGCGGGGGGGAAGAGTTCGCCTGCCTCCATACCTGCACTTGCGCCCGCGTCCGGGAGAGCAAGAGGCCGCATCTGCATCAGTTCCCCTTCTACGAGATTGGAGATAACAGTCGCCAAGAGCTCCACAACTTCGAGCGACCCTAGTCTCGCAAGTGCCGCGCTCGCTCTTCCTAGCAAGAAATCCCCGCCCAGGACTGAGAGCTTGTTCCCAAACGCTGCCGGTGCACTAGGGGCGTTCCTCCGAGTGGGGGAGGAATCGACAACGTCGTCATGTAAGAGGGAGGCGACGTGTATCATTTCCGTGATTTCTGCGAGTCTGCGCTGGGTGGGGAGGATGTGGGGCGGGAAAGGGAAGGCGAGCGCTTGGAGCGGGGGTGGGTGGGGTTCGATTGATGGGGGATGGGGAGGGGAGAGGAGGAATGGAGCTGAGAAGGCGGAAGAGGACTCGGGCATGTGTGGGTTGTAGTCGTTTAGCACCTCTTTTCCTGTTAGGGGATCGTCTAACTTGTCCTGAGTGCGCTCGCCTAACCATTTGAGCCGTGGGAAATCGGGTGAGAGGCCATTAGTCGCTTGGGCTATGAGGAGGACAATTAGAGGTCGGACTTGTTTTCCTTCTGCGGCGAAGTAGTATTTGGCTACTCTGTCCAGACTCGGATGACCAGCTCCGAGCAAGGTGGTGATGTTCGTGCGTAAGAGAAGGAGTTCTTGTTGGATTATTTTGAGCGGGTCTAGGGGAGGGGTGGTGAGAGGAGGGGGGACGACGGCTGCTGATGCTGATTTTACGGCTGAGGCCCAGGCGGAGGCTGCTCGATGGGCGTGATGATGTAGTGGGGAAGGAAGTGAGAGGGGGAAGGGGAGAGAAGGGAGACGGGTTCGTGCTGAGGGAAGCATCGACGCGTTTGGGGGAGAGTGAGGGGGGAGAGTGGTCTATGAGTGCAGCAGTGAAAGAGGAGCACGTTCCCCGAATACTTCTCCGGAGTGTAGCCCTTCAATGTTGCCCAAAAGTAGAAATTCCAATTCCTTTCCTGACCATAGAGTGGCGTCCATCGGGACCAATTTTATCGCCGAATCACGCGCGTATCATTTGGAGAGTGAGTTTGATCATCTCACTCTCACGTCTTATATCCTCTGCCATGTCAATCTCTGTATTTGGTAGTCGATCATCCTCTGTATCCTCAAACAACTCCCTCACTTGAACGTACACACCCCTCGCCTCGCTCATCCTCTCCCACGCAACATCCTCCCAGTCCAATCCAAGCGCCAACTCTTCCTTACTCCCTCCCCTCCATCCCACCCTCAACATCCCTCAACATCCTCCTGAATCCCACCTTTTCCTCTCTCGCCAATATCCCCCACCCAGCGCGTACACCAGCCCCCAGCCTATTCCCGACCTCTCGAACCGCGCCTTGGCCTCTAGGATCAATGACCGCACCTCCTCATACCTCGCCTGGAAGCCGCAGATCCCCAGACTGAGCATACACACGCGACTCCTATCCCCCCAAAACCTGGAATACCGCTTAGCCTCTCCCAATAACCCACGCAGGCTTATATCGTCTCTGTACAAAATGTAATCCCACTTTCTGCATACATGCGCGACGCCCTCCCTGCTGTCCAGGCTTTCGAACGCCTCGCGCCTCATGAAGAGGGCGATCGATTCCCCACACCGCTTGTTCGCAGCGGATATCGTCCAGTTAAGGTCTGAAGACACAGTGCAGCACTCTCCCGAACTCCAACGGCTCAAATGCCGAATGTCGCTTTCCCCTCTCTCACCTCTTCCGCAGGCTCATACCCCTGGATCCAGAGCATGTCCCCAGACCGTGTACGCACTGGGTGAAGCCAACCCGTTCCCTGTTCCCCGACACCCGGCATCGTAGCCCTCCCTTCTCCAAACAAGGCATCTACCGGTGTTGAGCGTCGTACCTAGGATCTGACGCGCACTACGCCCTCCCAGGCTTAAGATCCTGTCAAACATTCTCATGGTTTCTGTTGCTTTTCTCTCGGCTTCCCCACTCCCGCCTACAGATATACATCCAAGTCTCGCCTGCTGCGCGAGCACCCAAATGATCCAATCCCCAATCCCTCAAATGCTGCCGAGGATGGACGAACAACCCCTCACGGCCTCATACTCCCCCTGCTGCACCTCCTTCGCAATGCGCTGTACGCTGAGCACCGAAGGCATCCTACGCTCTCGTCTGCTCTCCCCTCCCAAAGCAAGCAGGGAGATCAACCCGTACTCCCCGTACTCTCCCTTCAGGCGGAAGGTATCCTCCCTAATATGCACGATGCACGCACTAGATCGACCCCTTCCCATCTCATCTCCTGCTTCAAACCCCGGCCTGGTTTGACATTCCTGCATCCGGGGAACAGCGTCAACTCCCCCCCAGGACAGGCAGGACCTCACACCCAATGCTCATGCGCATACACTACCCCCTCAACATAGTCCCGATCCCTCCGAACCCCACCTGCTAGGATCGCCCTACTTCTCAGCATGCTCTCCTGCAAGCGAAGGACATCTCCACCACCAGAACCCAGAGCGCTGAGCAACCCCAAGCTGATGCCCTACAGCTTGACCTCGACCGGCTTTCGTCCCTTCGTAATCCCAGCAATCTGCGCATCCGGGTACTTGCCGGAGGTACGGGTGCAGCAGGTTCCCTTCACATACTCTGCAAGCACTAAGCACTGCCCACTGCCCCACCCCCATCCTAGCCCCAGCCGGTCAACCCCGCACACCTCGTTCATCCGAAGCGCACGCCGACGTCATCCCTCCCCTCCCTTGCAGGCCCAAGGTCCCCCAAACTAAAACTAAACCCTGCACACTCCCCAGCCCTATGCAGTATCCGAGCCATCCGAACCCCACCTTGTCCCTTTCCCCTTCGAGCAAGGACAGCTCGCCGTTCGCGGGTTGGAGATTAGGCAGCGGAGCATAAGCTTCCCCCTGTTCTGGGTGTAGGGTGCACAGGGCTGCTCCGGGCGAGTAGTAGAGAGGTTCAAGCTAGGGTTGTGCTTCTTAGGGCAGATGCAGCCGCGGCTGCGGGCGCAGTATCCTCCTACTGGCTAGTCATACTTCCCAGCATCTGCAGCGACCCTTGTTCGTATTTGTGCACTGCCATGAGCGCCATTTGCTGCAAGCCTCAGTCATTGTACACCATGTACGTGTACGTGTCCCATATTTCAGACAGGGGATCCCCCGCGGAACTGTAACTGTCCCGGAAATCAACCCATCGGGAAGTAAGCACAACACGCTCAGTAGGCCTGGCCCTGCGCTTCCGGTTCTCACGTATCGGCAAGGACTAGAGCGATACCTCGATCGACACTTGTAAACTGTCTGTCTGCCGTGTAGGAGCTTTCCAGCTTCCGTCTCGTATGCGCTGGATGACTCGTCCATGCCGAGCAGTTGACCTTGGAATGCAATGCCGGAATGCCATAGAATGATTGCCAAAGCCAGAGGCAGAGGCAGACCTTCCAACCCCAACCGCTCAGAAGCGCGTCAAGTTCCATAGACGAGCAATGCAGGTCGGCGACTGAGGGAGGAACATATCTCTCCTAGCGTCCGATCCCAGGTGGAGGCTCGGCCCAATCGGTCGGCAGCGTCCAGCTTATCCCGGACGGACAGCGCGCCTCGCATCCATCGTCATGATGTAAGACAGTTTGTGTGCGTTTTCCATCTCGGGCAAGAACGCTTCCCCCAGCCACTAGTCCTCTCTCCCACACAGACCCAAAGTCAAACACCACAAGCACCGACCGAGTCAAAGAGTACAGGAAGCCTATGACGGCCCTATGCAAGTCGTCTTGATCCGGCAGGTTGAACACTTGCGCGAAGAGCGTGATCAGACCTTGGTCAGTGGGTGAGATTCTCGCTCTCGCAACGCAGGAACGCCCGACATGTGGAGAATTTGGAGATCACCCTTTGAGCATGCATGATCCCAGTCGCGAGGGACGTCTTTCCCGTTCCGCCATGGCCGGTGATGACGGGATGGGAAGGAAAGTATGTTACTTGACCACCGGCCCTTTTATGACATCAGATCCGAGCATCAGGACTTAAAACTTGGGGTACTGCAATACTGTAGATGCGCCATGACCTCCCAGTTTCCAGTTTCCATATTGCGCTGTCGTAAGCTGCATGCAGGAGCAGTCCGTGACGCGCGCCAAATGAGATAACGTTTCCCATCTGTTCCTTTCCCGCCGTGGGACACGCTAGATATACATACGATCAATTCACCTTAAGATTTTACGGGAGATGCGGATAAACGTACGATGCTCAACTCTGATGCTCGCACTTCGTTCTTCAGCAGAGTTGATCGAGTTGTCCATTTTGAGGCGGCGTAACTTGTGGACTGAAGCCATTCATGATGACTATAACGACAAGAAAGTCAGCGGGGAGTTGGGTGGACCGTGGTACCCAGAACGAGTCGTGGTCGTCTAATGTATGTTGAACCAGACGAGGGCATGAGCGATATCAGCCTCCTGTGCGCTGGCAATCAATTCAGAGCGGACCACGTAGTCACCTTCGGGTTTTCGGCTTCTAGGCAAACGGGAAGGGCTTTGCGTACGCCTTGCGATTGAGCTAAGAACCAGCTATCAAGCATAACGAATAGTACATGTACAAGCTCGAGGCCGTGAGAAGAAGGCAAGGTTATCCCAACGAAGGTGGTTCTCTATTTCCAACCGCACTGCCTCTGAGAGCGACGATCCAACTTCTTTCTTCCCACTCAAACGAGACTAATCAAATATCAAACTATCAGCGTGTGTCACAGAATCCTTCTCAACCTATATATGGTCCCCTCGGATGCTCGCCCGGCTGAGGTCCTGCAGACTCAATCGTTTGACCATCAAGTCAAGTCAGGCATAGATGCCACCATTGCGCACATTACAACCTGCGGGGCCATTCCGGCCTTTTCAAACAGAGCTTTTGCCTCGAGAAACATTCTTCTTGCCCTCAATCTCTTTCTCAGACGGGTGAACAATAATCCAAGCGACAGTTTACAGCATGCCAATTCCGATATGACCCCAAGGCTTTCTAGAATTTCATGGGATTCCTGCAGCATGTGGAAAGCTTTGGCATACTGGGACTGCACGGCAAGGATATTGGCGAGACTTCGCAAGCATTGGGCAGTACCAAGCCGATCACCGATGTCGTCGAATGCAGCTTTCGCTTCGTTCAGGTGTTCTGCGGCATGGCCATATTGCTCCTGTACCCAGTTAGATACGAAAATGATGCCAGGAGATCGGTGGCATGGATTACATCTTCAAGACGAGGTGGAAGAATTTGGCGCTGCAATATATACAAGAATACTGCGTTGATGTTACCAAACTCTGTCGCGAGCATGCGGACGACTTTGCGACTGCCTTCCTTGCCAAGTTCAGTTGCAAGCATCGCCAGCACAATAAAGTACTGCTCTATGTCTTTTAAACAAGTTCCATCAGGGGGGTGCCGTGAGAGAATATAGTCTCGAATTGGCGACAGAATCCGAATTGTCTCCCCTGTCTTCGAAGGCCAGCCCAGTTTGGAGCAAGACCAAGGTTGTCCCAATTACGTTCTTTTCCATCGACGATATCATTTCGGCCAGATTTTCAACTCTCGCTCCATTTAGCAGGAGACAAAGGGCTGCAAGCAGTGGGATGCTATAGAGCTCATCGACCATCAGTGTAGATTCGAGCGAAAGTCGGATGGATACTTCAAGATTGTCCACTCGCCCATTTCCTCCGATCTTGACTAATCGTGTTGCCTCACGCTCGTATGCGGCCAGCAGAGTAGAAGGCGGCCACATCTTGCCTTGGAATGCCATGAGATGGATCGCCAGTGGAAGTCCATCCAGTCGTTCCAGCAGCTCATCCAATTTATCATCCATCTTCTTCGAGATCTGCATCCAGATCTGACGCGCCGCTCCGAGTGAGAGCGTCGCCAATGGGGGTAGGCCGTCCCACGTAGCGCCGTCAGGCGGCAGAGTCCCTCTCATGGTGATGATGAGTGAAAGTCCTTGTATGGCTCCAAATCTCCTAAGGAATTGGGCCATATGCTGCCTGTCCCTCTGCGCAGTCGCCTCAAGATTGTGGAGCACGAGGAGAGCGCGGCCGAGGGAAGCAAGATGTGCTATGACGGCTGGGCGCGTGTTGGCGTCTTGTCGTCTTCCGAGGCGTGCGGCCAGGGCATTTACAAGACCTTCTTCAGATACAATGCCTTCACAACTGAGGAAGCATATGCTTTCTCCATATCGTTGCTTGGTGTTCTCATCATTGATGGAAGCAAGTGCGACGGATGTCTTGCCGATTCTCCCACACCAAGCAGGGGGACTCGACAGGGTTTCTCTTGGAGGAGGAGCTCAATAATGGAGGCCACGAGCTCCTCCCTGCCGTAGAAGGCATCTGGCTTGGGTGGAACATCGAGAACAAGTGGCGTTGGGGGACTAGACCAGGATATTGCAGCAAGTCCGAAGAGCCTGGCTACTTTGGTGATGCAAGTGACCCAGCGGGCATGCCCCTCTGACTTAACATCGTGATTCGCATTTCCTTGATAGATTCAGCGGCGGGACAGCAATGGATTTCTTAATTTGCATACCACGCATTGCAGCCTGAGAGAATCAAGTTGTCTGTGATACCTCCTAATCTTTTGCGCTACCGTCTGAATGTCCATGACTATGAGCGTTGACGAGGACATCTGGAAGAACGTGTTGATCCCAGATACCTTTCTATGCAGTTTGAATGTGTGACGAGGCAGTTAATTGAGTTGGGGCTGACCTGGCAAGTGTCGTGATGATACAAGTCGCACTCTCATCTGCCGGGCCTGCAGGTGGGAAACGCTTGAGGACCTCTTCTGTAACACAGGTAACTTTGAGAGCCAATCCTCTCCGATTGTCTTCCATCTCATCGAGCATCTGGTGCAGCATTGTATCTTAGACAACCGGGGGGGAAACCTGAGAGGGATGCACGTACCTGAGCGATGCCTGCGACCTGGGTCGCGGCGTCTTTGAGCATTGCCTTGATAGGCGCTAGTCACGCAGTCGCACTCGCATTCCAGCTACGCCATGTCGTGTCAAAAGACGCCTTGCGCCCACTAAATACAGAGGCCAAGGATGTCATCAGAATTGTAGCAAGAACAACAACGTTGATTGTTCTGTTGATGACCAGACCGGGTAGGGATCGCTGAGCGCAAGAAGACTGAGGGAAAGCGGGACACAAGATGGCGCTCTGAATGGTCCCTTTATCCTTCTAGTACCGAAGGGGCGCCGGAATTGCGTAATGATCAAGGTTATAGAACACGTTGCATGGGCGTCAATTTCTGGGATTCAGAAGTTGAACCTCTGTCGTTCAGCCATTCAGCCCGGAAAAGGACTAGAAGGTGCCACTAGAATATTGCAGAATACCGCTGTGAAAGGGATTATCAGGTTGCATGCGAAGTTCAGGTGACGGGAGCCAGCGAAACGGTCAGTGAGCAGACGACATAGTCAATATCCTTTGCGCAGAAGCGGGGGAGCGGACGGATGATGAGGCTTCCTTCGAGCTCTTGTGAAAAGGATCAGATCGGATAAGGCTCGATCGGATCGCACCGTCTTGGCAGAAATTGTCACGTGACATACCTAGGGGAGGAAAAGTCGGTTGGGTTTAATCGCATCCTGATCAGTTGACGACAAAAATGGCAATGTACGCTTTGCACGCGAGTAATCATCTGTCTTCGAGAAAGAATCGACGTTGATCGAATGCCGAGGGCTGATCCAAAGATCACGAGGCTCTTTTTGGTCGGTGAGATTGGGTGCGTCCGCAAGGAGCATGCTTGGACTTTGTGATGCAGTGACAATATCCCGCACATTGATGACAGCGGTGGGTATCCTTCCCACCCTCTGCTGGCCTGATGTAGCAAGATGTATCGCGAAGTTCATTAGTAATGTTCGAGCAAACTGCCTTGATCTCACGTTCTACGTATACCGAAAGAAGATTCGCTTCACCGCCGTTCATGGACAGTTCTGGGAAGATCAAGGTCTGATGAAGCATTTTCAGCGATGTCCGAATAGCTCTTCCAACACCCAAACGCACCTTCTCTGAAGGGGAGCTTGTATATAGCCAGTAGGAAGTGCGATTGTTTCAATAGGGCCAAGCTCTCCTCAATTGTTGTTTGCGCCTCCACCCGTTCCGCTCGTGTATGAGCAAATAGAAGTTGTGAGGTGCTTGAAGGCTCCGGTTTAGCACCGGTGTACGGAGAACCTATTGGCTCACCATCTTCCGAGCAACCAGGGAACTCGAGATGTGAAGCCTGGTGCTCATTTCTTGTTCTATAGCACGTTTGACCCTGGGCAGCGTAACCTGGTTCTTGCAATTACCGGGATCATAGTATAAGCAGATGATGGCGCTTGGAAGCCCAATATGGGCTCGCTGAGACTTCCGCACTACATTGGGGAGGATATCGAATTTTCGTTGTGCTCAGTTCATTGTCAAGCAGATTGTATCAGTGCAAGTGCATATAAACAGGCCAGTGCAAAACCGCTATGCGGTATCTGCCTAAGGCGTAACAAGGGGATTCCTGAGGTGCAATGGTCAGAGACTCGAGACACGAGCGCTAAAACATGTGCAACCAGATTCTGCTTCCATCACAGCCACATCTCCTTGGCGGAGCCTGATTGACATCACCGACTTCCCACGTCCGAGGAGCCGATTTCCGAGGCGCAATTTCCGAGGGGCCGAGGAATTCCGCATTCTTCGACTAATTGTCTCTGACTCGCGGGAAACGACACCATCCATGAACATCACAAGCGCCCACACAGGTGGATCCATTACCCTTCGCGTTCGCTGATGAGACTCGCTTCGGTCATATTTAGTGAAGGAAATAGTCAGCTGGATCAACAATATCGGGGTCTCAAAATAGGGCGCGTGACACGGTGGTGTATCATCAAGAGCGAGCCGGCGTCTCCCGTTTGGAATTGCTCAGCAGCTTGGTCACAAGCGCCCGATAATCTGCGGGGATGATCACTGCTTGGCTTGGTGGGGCAAGATGTTCCCAACGCATTAAAATTAGATTCACATACGGTTATCCTACAGCGATATTAATTCCCCTTCTATTCCGGACCGAACCGCCTGGTGTCCATCACCCATAGGTCACAAGATGAAGGGGAAAGGTATGTAGATATACTAGAGTATGTCATAGGGATGGATATAGTACGCAGTTATTTGAGCAGTAGCAGTAATGGCAGTGAGAACAGGAGCGTGGATAAGCCACCGCCGCACGTGAATGACGACAGACAGGAAGACATAAAGGACACAATGAAATTATAACGAATTGAGGAGGGTAGTGCAGGGTCCGGTTTAATGATGATTCGTTAGACGCATGGAGTAAAGGTGCAGCTGGTGGAAAGAATAGTGCGATGCAGATGAGTTGATGAAAGCAGATGAATCAGCTCGGCTCGGCAGTGTCCGGTCGGATCGGGTCCAGCATGCATGTGACATCCTGTCTCGTCACCAACCGGTGCAGATCTGGCCATTCCCAAACCAAATCCGCATTCATCATCGGAGAGCGAAAAAAATGCAAGCGCCCAAGACGAGACAACAGTGACTTAGGCGATGGGTCTATCAGCGCCAACGCTGCTTTCCATAGCCGAACAACAATCACGATGTCGATCGGTGAGAGGATACGCATCAGCTGCTTTCCGCAACGGAAACAGTCGCGATGGGCGGTGCGGGAGGTCCATCGGCATGGTCCTGGTCCCGTTCGACATCATACTCGTGCTGATGCTGATGCTCACGCGGACGGTCACGATCGCGATCTTCCATTGGCTCGTCGCGCGCATCACTTAGCCGGGGTTGCTGTGGTTCGGGCGTGGCTGCAGGAGAATGCGAAGCATACGAGATAATTGCGGCGTGCGCGTAGACAGACGCCGAAGGGGCATAGCTACCCCTTGGCTCCTCACGCTCGAGCTCCGGGGCGGCATATACGGAAGGTGCCATCGGCCTGACCTCCTCGATCTTGGCGTACTGTTCCGGCTGCGCGTAGGCAGGTGCGGGTTGGGCGTAAGCAGAGGGCGGACTGGGCTGTGCAGTGACGGAAGGGGTGTGTGCGCCGTGACCCGTGACGTACGGCTGCTGCGCCGGCTGCTGAAACTGGGACTGGCCGTGAGCAGCCTGTTGGGGCCGGTAATGTTCGATTAAGGGATCAATCTTATGCTTGCGAGAATGGTACTGCGTACGCCAACCGGTCGCGTCGTACTTGGGGTTCTACAATGAGAAATGAGGTCAGCATATATGGATGTCTCACCCCGGATTTCTGCTCCGGCTAAAAAATGGGACATACCGAGAGCGCAAACTGCTTCCAGTCGATTCCACCATTCTGGGCACGCGACGTAGTCGTGGCGAGGTAGGCCGCAATTTTGTGCCTATCATCGTCGGTGAACTTGCCCTGCTTGCGCGCGGGAGCAGCGTTCTGCTCCTATTGAGGCGGTCAGTAAAATTGATACTGTAAAAGGCTGGAACAACAACGTACGTGGGGCATCATTTTCATAACCATGCCGTCCGTGCTCGTGAGAGAGCGAGGGGAGCTCTTGCGATCCTCCTCGAGCTCATCCTCCTCGACCATTGACCGAGAACGCTTGAGCGGCCGCTGTCCGTTAGGGGTAGCATAGCTTTGCGCAGACACGGGTGTGTGTGTGTGATGACGTTCGGGGAGCACGTAAGGTTCTGTAAACGTGTCAGGACGCGTAGGCGGTCTTTGGAAAGAGGACTCACGATGCTCACGGTGGGGTGAGGGGGGAGTCGCGGGAGCGTTAACGTACTGGAGACCCATGTGCCTGGGGTACACCGCACCATTACCATTTGTCAAGCCTTGGTTGTACGCTGGCAGCTGCTGAACGACGGGGAGTGCCTCTGAGGCGAGCTGCTGGACGGTAGAGAGCACGGACGACGCGCGATCGGATGGAGGCGAGTCGGAGAGGCTCGCCTGACAAAACTGACGCGTTTTGCTCAGTCTATCCTCGATAGGCCTGCACTCCTCTTCAAGAAGACGCGCAGCTTCGAGCAGCTTATCCGCAGCTTCGCGATAGTTGGCTGCACGAGAGCGGTAGAGGTTGAGGGACTCGCGGTCAGCGCGTAGTTGCTCATAGTGCTGGTCAATGATAGTGAAGGACTCGCCGTCGGGGCGGGTAATGACGGCTACTGGGGGAGTGTTGTGGTCGGACATGGGGGGAGAGGGTGGTGGTCGGCGGAAGGGGTAGACGGGGTGATGCCGAATTATAGAAGATGAGTAAGAGTGAGACGTATTGACTTGATGTGAGTAGGGTGTGGTCGCCAGCGCAGAGGATGAGTGGGGAGGCGATGAAGGGATCAGTCGACGATTACGGGATTGTTGTGACGTGCCGGGGTCGAGTTTAATACCTCTGAGTGATAAGGAGTTGAATCGTGCGAGAGTCGATAATTATTCGATTTTTTGATCGAGACTGAATTATGAGGTAGTGGTAGGAGAAAAAGAGATAAGAGAAGGGATGCAAAGGTTGAAGAGGAGGTCGAGGAGGAGATGGTGGTGGTGAGAAGACAAGAAAGTAGGTGAATGACCGTTGTCACGGAGGCTGAAGAAACGGATCCAACGAAGGACGAGGCGCGTGGCTTCATATTCATCAGCCGGCTATTTCACTGTTTGTCACATCACATCATACAATCCACGTGGTCCCATAGCGATCATGCACATTACGTAACAACCCCTCACCCCAGTCAGCACCGTCGCCCGTCTCACGTTTCCAGACAATGCACTGCGTACGACCCCATACAATCCGCTAGACATTGTTTTTCCTCGCCTATTCTTTTAGCTGGTCAATATTGATAATTATTTTCTTCATGGGCGGCTGGCACAACCCTGACCATCGGTCAGCCCATGCGTTTGCTGATGCTACTCACGCCGCGGCACTTTTAATTTATGACACAAAACACCGCTGCCAGGGGTCCGTATTCTGCGCCTTCCGATGCCGAATGTACCAATGTCTAATTATCCCTGAATCACGCCTCTGAGTACAATATTTTCCCCATTTCTCCCGGAATAACACCAAAAACTCTGCCATCGGTCTCCACTCTGCGCGTCCCTTCCGTCGCCATGCGCCCCTGACAACGATCAGAGACTGAGAACCCGACGGAACTGAACCCTATCCACATTCACGCCGCAACAACACAATAATTGCAACCCAACGAGTGTACAAAAGAACAATCGACATAACCTGCAACCATGCAGCGCCTCATTGCTTCTTGCTTCCTTGTAAACAATTTGACCACGTATCCACAAGGTATCAATTGTCAATAAATACCCCGTAGACATTCCCCAATTTAACATTGGTCTCCTCAATATTACGTTCGATCGAACTCAGTGCGTAATAAACGCACGCTATTAATGACAGCTCAATTCCACATAGCACAACGCTACTTTTGTCAGCCAAGCTCTCATGTACACCTGCCTCGCAAGGCGCTGTCCTTCCCGTCCTAGTTCTGTTCCCCAGAACAGTACGGGACCAGGCCGAGGGAGAGCGCTCACCGCCTCAGGGTTCTCCCATCTCTCGCATCACCATCTCTATCTCTCGTTCCATCACGCGCACTGAAAAGGCTGGTGCCGACCGCGGTAGCGCAGCCCCATCCGGCTCCCTTTCTTCATACAGCATGTACAACAGGTCGCACGCACCACAGCTTTCATCTGGAGTTCGATCCCCTTTCGGCCCTGGTCATCCTTCTTCCTCTCCCGATGTGCAATGCGCAACACCAGCACGATGCACTGTATTGGATCTGGATCTCTCCTTCTCACATGGTTGGTCACGCAGGTACGCCATGCTTCGGCCCGTCTGATGACAATAGTCAGGCCGACCTCGTCACTCAGCTCGGCGGCGCGCCATTACCGAGCACAATTCTTATCACATAATTCCCATACAGCGACATGTAATTATCGCCCAGCGGACCTCGAAACGGTCAATATCATCCTTGCTCCCGGGAACATATCAAACCGGATAACAACAATCACCCACTGTCGACATCCCATACATATCCACACATTGCCAATCGATCTATCGCACCAGTTGCCGCCCACCTCGTGCCCGACGCGCATCACCTCCCCACCCAAACGCGCGCTAGATCGCGAGGTCATCGTACCCTGAACCTCTGATCCGGCCAGCATTCTGCTTCTGCACAGGTCATTGATACATATCCTTCCTTTCATCCATCCGTTCCGCTCAGTTTCTCCAGAGAAACTGAGAAACAGCAAACGATGCGCCCAAAGCGGTTGCAATCAGATCACATTACCGCTGCTCGCCAGCGCCGAGGTCCGACCTTCTTGGGGCTGTGGCTATCCTTCTCCAGTCCTATCCCTTCTCGTTCTCCGAGCAGGGCGGGCGTGGAGGGATGGAAGTTTCAACGTGAAGTGCGTGGAAATTTAGTGGGAGGAAGACACGGGACAAGTCCGAGGGGTTGGAACATCCGGGAAGGCATTTTAGAGGCGGTGAGACTCGTGGGTGCTGACTGGTTGCTCCTCGGAATTGTGCCGTTTAAGGAAAGGATATCTGCCACGCAAGTGTTTGTATGCCAACAATCACACCGCCTCTACTGGGTCATCACCAACAATGAACGTTGCTGGCCCCTCACGAGGTAAGGGCGAGGCATCAACGCCCAACCCACCTGGCCAATGATAGGGGCTCCCGACCCTCGGCGTAGTATTTTCCGAGTTTCCCCATTCCAGACAGCTCTGATGTAGCCACGAAATGGGATGAAACATGATTGGAGATATTAACACTTCCTTTCGGGTCAATGTGCTTCGCGAAGAACAGCGCCTTTTCAGGGCTTCGGAGATGCTATCGGAAATTCCTCGCTGACATGTACGCCGCCAACACCAACCTGTCATTCGGGTAGATGCTGCCATCCCATAGTTGTCAATATCATCGCACTCTTATCAGAGTCATGTCAGCCGCTTAGAACAATTCGAGGAAAGGCGCGGTAAGCCGAGTCATTTCCGAAACATCGGGGAAGGCAGTCAGGCAGCTGGGATCGGTGCCTTCATTCCAAACTTGAGACGGGCCCACAGCAATATCTCTGAGGTGTGGTTGGTCTTGTCAAGGCGTGACAGCCTGAAACCGACTCTGGCAAGGGGATCGTTCCAAGACTTTCCATATAAGGCTATGTGCAACCACCTTACGTGACGCGCATACTCCCGCGTCAACTCCGTCACACGACCGCAAATCCACCGAATTAACAAAGAGTTGATGAAACCAAACCGTCCCCATAATTCAAAACCGGACCAGGGAAAATGGTGCTGTGCATTGAATGAGGGTTCCTGATTCAGAACAATAAATGCAATGAATACTGTCTCAGGGCTTCTGCGCCGGGCTGTGTCGGTCTTTTCACGCAAGCTCCATTCAAGTCCACAGAATGTGTGTAAGAAGCCCCACATGCCGCGTTGATCGCGCGATCAGTAATATGTGTAAAGTGCATGTAGCCGTACAGGAGTGTTTAGCAACCCGCGTCTTACTGAGCCTGTGGGAAGTGATCAGGTTGCATTGATTACCGACAATGCGTACTAATCAATGATTGGCCTCAAGTTGGTGGCCGACCCAGGGAGGCTGGCAAACAGTATGGTACTATATATATCTTGGCACGGAGGTACAAAAATAGGGAATGTTTGTGTACGATCGTTGCTGGGCCAGAAGCAGGCACAATACGATACAGTACTCTACAGAATTCGGCGTATGTGCGAGAATGCGAGTTGACCGGAAACACGTCCAACGGTCGTTATTAAGGCACAGAAATCCGAAACGAGAAACGTTTGTATTTGTGGTAATTCCGCGGGCTGAAAACAGAAAATGTCCATCATCGGGTTGTTGACCGGAAACCAGAATGCCATCGAAAACTTGTGTCAATGGATGTAGCCGCCGAAAGACAGGGAGGGCGTCGTCGGATCCCAAGCTCGAACAAGATGATCCCCTGACCCCAGGAGAAGCACAAGCGAGTGATTCTCCGAAGTTGTTCTGTTACCCCAACCAGAAACAGTGCGTCGATTATCGGCATACCACCTGGGCAAAACTTCGGACTTCTGCAATGAACACAGTGGCAGCTTCGACCGTCATCTGACGATGTGTTGACAGTGCCTCCTGGCCCGGAAAAGAAGAGGAAAAAATCGGGCCAATGTATGGTCGACCAGAAAGGGAGAGTCGTTCAGTTTCCATCGTCTGACCCGTCTTCGACAGTCGTGCCGACCGACGAGGACAAGTTGAACAAGCGGGGAGTGTAGTGATGAACATAGCCCAGAAAGGGAACGTTCGCCATCGCCTCCTTGTTCACATGTGGCCCAGAAGCGGAGGCCACTACCTGCTCGTTCACGTTCAGAGCCCAAAAGGGAGTGCATCGCATCTATTGTTGGACCCAACCGGCTAACAGAACGAGATAAGGAAACGATACAATGACATTCACGTACATACCATACGTTCTCAACCAGGAAACACGTAGAAGGCATAGCAAGGGAAAGGAGTGTGCTTACGCAGCACCGAATCCCGCCCTGGCCGAGGGCACTAGTCAGCAACATCCAGAGATGAGCCAGCGGAATCCTTCGCGCTCATCTACATCAGCAGGCTGATGAGCTCGCCACTCGCCACCACTCCATATTCAGCAGGTTGCATCGCCAATGCACGTTCGCGCCCACAGCCTGACACTAATGCCAAATCCCGTGTGTACGATTGAACCCCAACCGGATATCCAGCTTATCAGCGCGACGACCACCGCCGCCGATCAGGATGGCCACTCATGGGGAAACCCGCCTCCTAGGGCCTGTCACATATCCGCCGAGAGCAGAGATGCACATCTCCTTCAGGCCAGGTTGTCTTATCAGCAGCTTAACACCGCCATCGTGTGTCAGCAGTAATGCTTGGAGACGTTCACTTGCTGTGGGAAGAACGTAAAACCTGTAACTGTGGACCTGCTTCCTGAGCGTCTCGTCCAGGTAACGGCCGGCTATGCTCGAACTGCTTGGACATGGCGAGAGACGACAACGAGTGGTTTGATCCTCTGAAATTGTCCGCAGCGGATGAAGATTGACAGATTGTTGAGTCTGTTCGGGATCCCGCCGATGGGTGATGAGGTCTGCAAGATGCGACAAAGTCATGCCCTTGCGCCCATGGCATAACCCTGCAGAGCAGAGACTGCCAAATGCGGTGGGACAACAAGAGCATGACACCACTGTCGCACTAATAGGCCTTAGAGACGACGTGCGTTGGATGGGGAGAACGTATAGCCTGTAACCCTGGCCGCTTCTTGGGCGTCTCGTCCAGGTGAGGACAGGCCAGGCTCGAGCGGCTTTGACCTAGCGAGGATACTGGCGTCGGCATTCTCGAGGCGCAGGCAGCGGAAGGCGACTAGTCCTTATTGTCACGCTTGTCTGTTGTTGGAAGGGGAGAACGGGTAACCTGTAACTGCAGCGTTCTTCTCTTGGGCCTGGGTCATGGCCAGCGGCGCTCGAGCGGTGTCAACCAACCAACGACGGACGAATGGCTTAGTCCTACCTGGAGCGGAAGACGCCGCCGCTGAGTACAGAGATCGCGGTATCGATCGTAACGGGATAAGATACAGTAGACGGGTCCAGTACTGTCGTTTTCAAGATCGGTCAAACGAGATACGATAAGTCGGCGAGGAAGACCTTCGGGCCGGCTTGTGGATATCGTAACACCACGATCGACGGTCATCGCAGGGCCTTGGAGACGTGGATTTGACAGCCGTCGGAGACCCAAGGCAGCCGTGAATCAAATGCGGTCCCTCTTGTCTGACGCCTTCCTGCTACCCCGTGGAACCGCACCTTGGAGTGGGAGATGAGCTACGCCCCGAACCCCATGCAGCGACTCACGATCTCCACCGTCCAAGGACCCATCCACTGTCCAACTCACTCATGCACCCTCCACTGCCACCGTTGCCGTCACCGCCGGCGCCGTCATCCCAGTTCCAGCCCCAGAGCCGGATGCACGAGCCGAAACCACCCTCTTAGGCCTTGCGACGCGTGGAGGGAGCTTGAGCGCCGCTGCTTTGGGTCCTATTTCTGGCAGTGCAGGTTGGAGGTACAGCTTGACTGCGTTTGCCTGGCGTATTGGTCAGTAGTGTTTCTTTCCAAGCCAGAGAGAGGGGGGGGTTACCTTTGCTCGCAGGAGACTGGAGGGTACTGATTCAGGTGCACAGATGCCAAATAGCAAATAACGGGACCTCCCCGCCGAAGAGGGAGCAAGCACAGGGAGGTCATAAGACAGCGCCGTAACATATATCCTTCCGAGCTTCTCGGGTCAGCTCGTCCACACAAGTAGCAGGACCTACATACCTCAGACTCGAACGAGAACCCCGTGTCGTCTTCCGCTTCCCCCTCTTCGTCGACTTCCTTCTCAGCCCGATCCCGCTCCTTCGACTCCCTCGCCCAGGCTTCGCTCACCACTCCAGCAAGAACGTTCGCCCAGTCTCGCTCTTCTTGTTTCCCGCTCATGCCGTGGGAAGCGTAGGCGATGAGTTCCCCCCCTGGGAGGAGTAACGCTGCGAGGGTGAGGCCGAGAGGTGGAGTGTCGGAGTCGGACGGGAGTGCGGGGGAGGAGTTAGCGGGGTCGACAAGTTGTTGTAGGGCGGATACGATGGAGGAGAGGGCGATTGTCTTCATTTTCGCTTTTTTGTTGGGGAGTGAGGAAGAGGAGGAGGAAGAGGAGTGAGAGGGGAAGTGTGCGCCACTCTGGTCAGGGTTGGTTGGCTTGGTGATGCCACACGGTGTTATCTCGGAGCGGAAGGGAAGCAGCGAAGAGCAGAAGGGGAGACGCAAGATAACAGAAGCAGGAAGAGGAAGCAGGAGCAGAAGCAAGAAGTACAAAGGTGATGACGTAGACAGATCCCTTTCTTAGGCACATAACCAGATCCCAGCATACAACATCAGTCCAAGTGCATCAAAGGAAATGCGATTTCATTCAAGAGCTGTTGTTGCAAAGCTCACATCATCAAATATCATTAACTATCATTTCGCCCTCAATAGATAGCCCTCCCCTCCCCTCCCCACTCTCCGCTCCCCCACCTTCCCCATTTTCCCAATTGACAATAGTTGACCACACTGGCGTGAATTCATCGACTACATCGCCGCCTTCCCATACGTCTCAATCGGCAATAAAAGCATAAATATACTCGCCACGACAAACAATGACGCTGAGACGAATATCGGCGCCGAGGCATTCGTCGCCCCCGCGTAAATCCTACCAAACGCATCAGGCTGTTTCCCACACATCGTGAGTACAAGAGGGACGCACTTGATAATCGGCGCCATCAGTCCGCAGATCCTGTTAAAGCAGCTCGCTAGTCCATCCCCAGTGCCCCTATGCGGCCCCGGGAACACCTCCGGCGTATAAGCATACAATACTCCATACATAGCGTTCTCCGTCAAACTGGTCGCACAGTTCCAGCCGAGTATAGCGGGCTCCGTCTTGGCTGTCGTGAAGAGGAAGAGGAACAACCCGGAGAGCACGGTCGACAGGGCCATGGCGAATTTCCGCCCGCCGAACGCCCATTTGCCTTTCCATTCTACGAGGACGCAGGCGATGAGGGAGCCTGGTATGCCGAGGACTACGCGAGCGTCAGCGAGCTGCGAGAGTGAGCGAGAGAGAGCGAGAGAGAGAAAGAACAGGTGGATGAGAAGTGGAAGGCGGACGTACTGGAGAAGATAGCATAATTCCTATAAGTGGTGTTAAGTGACGTATCGCCAAACGCCGCACCCGCATTAGTCAAATACAGGGTGACAAACCCGTTCTACCAGAACAGCCTCAGCGCACGCTCAACAATCCACACAAGACAGACAGACGTACATAGAGCGGGTAAGCAAGTCCCAAACACCCCCAGATGAAGATTACCAGACTCGTGTTCACCGCCAGCCTGGGAGTGGAAAACAGCGGCCTCACATGGCCTAAATCGAATGTCGTCATCCCTTCCTTTACGCTCTCCCAGGCGCTCTTCGCCGGCAGCTGGGGCTCGTCCCCCAGCTCCGCTCTCACAGCGCGTTGCAAGTCCTCGACCGTTAGGTCCAAGGTGACCCGGTTCACACGCGCAACATGTTGCAGGACGGCGATCGCTTCCTCGTCCCGACCCTTAGCGATCAGATACTTGGGCGACTCTTGCATGTCGAACACGAAGTAGCGGAAGACAAACATGACGAATGTGAGTGCTCCTGCAAGCAAGGACTACGGCATTAATATGGGTTTAAGTTGTGTGGGATGGAAGGACACACCGAGAGTGTAGAACGTATACCTCCAACCGGGGTTCTCCTCCCTCGTACACGTCACCGCCGTCGGATCACACGAAAACCTAATGATAAAGGGCCATGCCACCAAGCTAGCCAAGACTATGCACCCCGTCAGCACTTCCAGCTCGCAGCCTAAAAGGCAGGAAGGGGGCACGTACGCTGGCCCAAACTCCACCAAGCGCTGAGCAGCGTCAACAGCGGCTGGTGGGACTTGGGGATAAACTCGAGGAAGAGCATCCCGTCTACCGGTAGGTTGCCGCCTACACCAAACCCGATACAGCCGGAGAGGAAACAGAGTGCGACGAGCGTGGGGGAGGCACCGGCTGCGATGCCGAATACACCCTGTGAGGGGTGAGTCTCTGTGAGAGGAGGTGGGGGGAGGGGGCGTACGGCTATGAACAAGGTGATGTTCCACGAGAGCCTGCGGCCGATCACGTCGCTCAATATTCCCTGTTTTCGTCAGCTCCCGAAGCGAGAAAAGGGGAACAGGAACTGCGCACCCAGGTCGTCGCACCCAGGATAAGCCCGACGTAGAGGGAGAGCGTTGCGAACTCTACGTGCAGGTTCGTACTGCCCGCAGGGACGAGTTCGCGCTGTACTTCAGGGAGGATGATGGCTATCCCTTGGAGCCAGATGTTGTCTACCCCCAGAGAGGTCAGCACGAGGGTGACAAGAGGAGGAGTAGGAGAAGGGAGAGCACGCACCCGCCATCCAGCCCCACCCACTCAAGACAAACAGATACCACTGATACCTCCCCATACCGATCTGTCGTTGGAGGACATCGTTCACCACCAGACATTTGAGCTCGTAGGCCGTACTGATTCCTTCGCCCTTTGCGCGTGCGAGAACGTCCTCATGCGCCTCGAGAGCGTCTTCGACCGCTGCTGGCTTTTCCTCTGCAGGGGCTTTCTCGGTGGACATGGTGGATTGGAGAGGAGAATGAGAAAGGGGGATAAGACCACGAGGATGGTGATACCCCCTCTAGCGCCCCCAGCATTTCCGCATCTGTCTATATTTTCGTGCCCCTATCGGTGATTGGGCTACAAAACGCATGCGGACGTTGACGTTAGATCGGGGGAGTGTCGTGTGCATGTGGGTCATTCTATGCTTCTTTTTCCCCCTTGTCGTAAGAAAGAAGTTTTACGCCCTCGAACGCATATGACACACATCGGAACTCTTTGACAGCCGACCGGCGTATCCCCCGTTTGCAGTTTGCCGACAACACGTGGATGCACGTGTGTGCCTTCCACGTCCCCCTCCGTTTCCGGCCGAGAGAGAGCATCGTGTGACTGAGAGAATATTTAATAGATAGAGGATGAACACTGTCAGAGCAAAGAGTATCAGGATGAGACAGGTCAGCCGTTCTGCGGGCCGGGTGACCGATCATACGTGTGCTCTGGACGCGATTGTTATGATCGGAGATACGGCGCTTCTTTATGCGGGTTATCACGGTGTAATCATTCCATCCCTGAACTTCTTGCAAGCGATATCGCTATCTCTTCTCCCATTGTCCACGTGGACGAGAACCAGTGACTGCAAACGATTCACTCACCTACCTCATCTCATACATATCTACGATGATACTAACCATACGCCGCTCCAACCTCGGACCAAGCACGTTCTGTACGCACCTCCCTCCTATCCCACAACACAGTACTAATGCTTTCCAGTCTCTGTGAGGTTCATGACAAGAGAATAGCTGTGATGGAAATGCGATGGAAATGCGATGGAGCTGTGGAGGTTGAAGATGTTAGAGCGAGGCTGCCAGACCTCTGTGTCAACTTTCTTCCGTCCGATCGCGATATTCCCATATACGACGATTCATTGTCCTGCCGCTCATAGCCCCCACATCGCCTGACCGCTGTTCATGGCTGGCACGCCTCTGCCTGCTCTGACCTCGTCAACGGAATTCCGTCTTGTTGACAAGGAGGCCATCACGGCGTATCACCAGTACTGTCGTACGCTGGAGAATTGGAGCACAACTCAGCCGAAAGCACAAACAAGTCCAACCGGGGCACCACCTCTCGTCGCAGCTCGCGTTCTATGATACTCGCGTCTCGTTCTCTCGGCCGATGTCAGGCCCGTACTTGTCCGAGGGGCGGGTGGCCCTTGCACAGCTGTACTATGGCAGGTCGATACTGTCGTGTTAGCCGTTCCTTGAGCCTCTGCGGTTACTTGTTAGGCTCACGATTGACCCAGTCAGACGACCTCAGACGACTCCCGCTCCTAGCGAGCTCCCAGCGAGCTCCCGTCAAGACCAGCTTGCGATGATACGGTCGAGCTGTATAAACAATCTCTTGAGGCAACCCCAACAGGCTACAAGGCGGGGAAAGAACTGGTTGGTCCGATTGTGGACTTGCTATCACAGCTCATCTCACGTGTACGTGGACAGACCCGTAACCGGAATAACTATCGATGTACCTTAATAGGCGCCGTAGATCTCAGGGCCACGAAGAACCGTCTTGTCGACCAATTCGAATTCTCGTTCGGACCTTCGAACAGCACTCCGAGGCTCGCGTTCTTTCCTCTCCATAATTCCTAGCTCCTGGCGAAAGGCTACTCCCCACCGAAGTAGCGCACATCGTTCCCCAGGGTTTATTCACACGAATACCTGATTTTCCAGAGGGACGCGACAAGGGGTGCACGTATTCCACCCCAGCATCCTGGCGGAGCTGTATTTCTTTCTGAAGCGAAACCCTCCTGCAGGCGTCGTCCCAGTGCTTTCTCGCTCGTCGAATCGGGTGCGGCCTGCCCTTGGCGGAGAACAAATGAACCAGCGGTCAAATCTCTTACTGTACTGATGCAGGTAAATTTTCATCAGTTGTGGGACGACCTTGCGATTTCTCTTGGACCCACGGTACTGTACCACCTGGATGCTTGCTCTGCGGTTCTCGCTTGGGCTGACTTTGAACTATCAGGCTCAAGCTAACCAATATCGACTGTGCAAGCGCGACAACCGTTTGGTCCTAGGGGCGATACGAACCCCGGTCACTTTTACCACGACCAACCCAGCGACGCGGCCTGTCCCAAACCCGGAATTCTTGCGGCTACACGCAACCTGTGCCCGCGTCGCACATCCGTTGGGCGCAGGCGCGTATGTCGATCGTATTCTACGCTTGGGCAGAGGCAGAGAGCGTTGAGTCGGTGCGCGCTCTCGATGAGCCGCACACTCGTCACTCTTCGTCCCAAATATCTTCTGTGCGTATCTTTTTCTCCCTCCTACACTCCCTGCTGATTTCCCCCAGCCCCAACCCACAGTCCGCAAGTCGACCTCCCCTTCACAGGACCTGTCCCCTTCGCCTATCTCCCTTATTCAAAATGTCTCGACCCTTCACCTCAGTCCGACGCCACACAACCCCAAGCACAGGCACAAGCAGAAGATTTCGCGTACGGAGAAGACTGTAAAGGCTGAACTGTGTTGGTACGGACATTGTAGACGTCGCCCTGTGTGCGATACGAATGGTGTATCTCTCTGCACTGCCTTGGGCGTGCAGGTACTGCTGATGCATGGCCAGCAGCGGAAACGACAGCGATCATCGCAGCGGATTTGCACATGAGTTCCTGTCGATATTCGTTGTCGAAAAGACCGTGGGGGAGGCGCCGAACTCGTAGGTGGAGAGTGTGGGGCCGGGAGTTGGGGGCGGGGGATAAGGGGCGAGTGGGGAGACCTTGGGGATGAAGGAGGAAGGTGTTGATTGGTGTAAAGGAAGAGGAGGCGTGAGCTTTGAGCTCTGACTACGACATGCGCGAAAGTTTCGCGGTTGGGATGTGCGGGTGGGAGCTGGTTTGACAATTGGGGTGGGTTGGGTTGAAGGGCCGAAAGACTTGATGGGGTCTCAGCATGTTGAGCGAGTACATCATGTTAGCACCTCACCGCTCCATTTCTAAGTGGCTCCCTGAGACAGACACCATCTTATTCTTGGCACCTCCTTCCTTGAAGAACATAGGTATATTCTATTCAACCCACTAGCTGAGTGGTTGTGAAGAAAACTAGCGAATAACCCTGCAGCGGCTTTCAGTGTCCTCTGACGTCTAACTAGTCGTGTTAGACCCGCGGCCTATAGTGGCATCATCCACTACTTCCGACCCAATACATTACGACATCAAACAGACAGTACGCTGAAGTACTGATTCACACTCGTCATTTGGACTGTTACTCGAGCCCCCCCTTTGACTGACTCGCCTTCTCGGCGTCTGTGTGTAACTTCGCCAGTGTTGTAGTGCACTCTGCCACCCGGGGATGAGCCCCATGCCCTCGAATATCTCCCTCGCGTGGTATAGCATGTGTCTAGCCTCCGGTATCTGGCCCTGTTTCACGAAAAGACGTGCTAGGGACTGCCTGCAGCTTGCCAACTCCCATTTGGCTCCAAGGTGTTGAAAGACCTCCTCAGCTTCTTGTAGCATACTCGACACTTCGGTGTACTGAGACTGATCGACCAGTATATTAGCGAGAGCATATATACACATGGCAGCACCGGATTGGCCGGGAATGGCGTCGAACACCGCCCTAGCTTCCGTGAGCAGGGTGACTGCCTCCTCGTACCGCGACTGTGTGCGAAAGATGGTGCCAAGATCCCACAGGCACTGCGCCGCACCGAGACGATGTGGGATGGCGTCGAACGCTGCCTTCGCCTCCGTCAGCACAAGAGCTGCCTCCTCGAACCGAGATTGCATGCGAAGGGCGCCACCAAGATCCCGGGCGCATTGTGCGGCACCAAAACGATCTGGGATGGCCTCGAACGCCGCCCTCGCTTCCATGAGCAGACCGACTGCCTCCTCGTACCGCAACTGACTACGAAGGAGGTTCCCAAGACCCGACAGGCATCCTGCCACACCGAGACGATATGGGATGGCCTCGAACGCTGCCTTCGCTTCCGTCAGCACAAGAGCTGCTTCCTCGAACCGACCCAGCATGCAAAGGACGTCACCAAGATCCTGGGCACATTGCGCTGCACCGAAACGATATGGGATGGACTCGAACGCCGCCCTCGCTTCCATGAGCAGAGCGGCTGCCTCTTCGTACTGCGACTGACTACGAAGGATATTGCCAAGACCTGACAGGCATTCTGCCGCACCGAGACGATGTGAGATGGCGTCGAACGCTGCCCTCGCTTCCGTCAGACGTACAGCTGCCTCCTCGAACCGACACTGCATGCGAAGGATGTCGCCAAGACCCCATAGGCATTGCGCCGCACCGAGACGATGTAGCATGGCGTCGAACGCTGCCCTCGCTTCCGTGAGCAGAAGAGCTGCTTCGTCGTACCGAGATTGCATGCGAAGGACGTCGCCAAGATCCCGGGCACATTGCGTGGCACCGAAACGATCTGGGATGGCCTCAAACGCCGCCCTCGCTTGCGTGAGCAGACCGGCTGCCTCCTCGTACCGATACTGCCGGCAAAGGATGCCGGCGAGAGACTGGGCGCAGTGCGCTGCACCGAGACGATCTGGGATGGCCTCGAAAGCTGTCCTCGCTTCTGTCACGATTACCGCCGCCTCCTTGAGTCGCGACTGTTTACGCAGGATGTCTCCGAGCATCTGCAAGCATTGTGCAATGCCCTTTGCCTCATCCCGAGTGCGGTGCACAGAATCCGTGTCCTGACTGTTAGTCAAGCTACCGCTGCCTCCCGAGCCTCTCCACCTTCGCAACGTGGCAATGCTGGTTCTAAGAAGCGGACCGTAGTCGCCATATCCCGTGGCCACTGCATAATGGCCTAGGGATATACTTGACATGCGGCAAACGTCTAACGTGAAAACCAGCGGTATTGTCCGCCAAAGATGTAACAAGACGGCATTGATATTGGCGAACTCTTCAGTAAGTATCTGGACCATGTCGGCGCTGTTTTCGTCTCCGTACTCATGCGCTCGATTCGCAAGCCGCATGACGAATTCCCCAACATCTCTCAGTTGCCTCTCACTGGGAGGATACTGGGCTAGAATGAAATCGCGAATCGGCGAAAGAATTCGAATTCGACCGCTCTCTTGGTACGCGAGTCCAGTGCGCAGTAGCACCAACGACGTCGCTGTCACGTTCCGTTCCATCGACGGGATCATCTCTGGTAGCGATTCGATCTTTGCTCCACTGGGTAATAGGCAAAGGGCCGAGAGCAACGGCAGCCCTTCCGGCTGAGTTGACATCGATCTTGAGTCAAGGGAAAGTCGGATCGAAACCTCTAAGCTGTCCAATCGTCCAGCTCCGTCGGACTTGACCAAATTGAAGCTTCGCGCTCATACGCTGCCAGGAGGGTGGAGGGAGGCAGGTCGATCCTTTGCAATGCCATCAAATGAATCGCTAGCGGAAGTCCATCCAGTCTCTCAAGCAGTTCGTCCAATTTCTCGTCGCTCTTATTTGAAACCTGCTTCCAGATTTGGCGGGAGGCGTGAAGAGGCAGCTTCTGAAGGGGCGGCATAGTATCCCATGTGAGGCCCTGGGCAGGCTGCGTGCCTCTCATAGTGATAATCAATGAAAGTGAGGGCACGCGACCGATTCGTCCGAGTAGTTCACGAATACGCTGCCTATCCGACTGTGTTGTCGTCTCAAAATTATCCAGAGTGAGGAGGGCGCGGCCGAGCGAAGAAAGGTGTGCAATCAAGGCTGTTCTAGTGTTGGAGTCCCGTTCGAGTTTGAAGAAAACGGCAAGCGCGTTCACTAGACCTTCTTCAGAATCGATGCCTTCACAGATGAGGAAGTAGATATGCTCTCCGTATCGCTCCTTCACTTGCTCATCGTTCATCGCCGCAGCTGCGACCGACGTCTTTCCAACTCCTCCTGGGCCAAGTACAGGCACCCGGCAAGGTTTATCTTGAAGGAGGAGCTGAACGATTGACCCTACCACTTCATCTCTGCCGTAAAATGCCTCCGGCGTTGGGGGGATATCGATCAGAGAAGGCCTGCTGCGCAGTCAGGCGGGAAGTGACGAGGCGAGAAACACGGCATACCCTTGTTGGCCGAGCGATCGCCCGCTCGCATTGTTAGATACATCGGTATGAATCTCCTGGTTCAACGTGAGTACCATAGGTCGCACTTGTTATGCATTTACGTACCACGCACTGGAGCCGGAGAGTATCGAGGCTCTTATGATACTTGCTGACCTTTTTTGCTCTCTTCCCCGTCATATCACCCTTCTTTGTGCCTGAACGAAGAAAGGCGTCAATCTCAAACACTTTACTGATCAGGCACGTTAGGACATGGGATTCAGGCGCATACATATTACGCACGTAGCAAGCGCCAGAACCACCTCTTTCGCCCTCTCGTCTGCTGGGCCATCAGGCGGGATACGTTCCAGGATGACTTGAGTCACCCAGGTGACTTTCAGCGCCAGTTGTCGACTGTCATCCTCCAGTTCTTGGAAGGTCTAGTGAACGGCCAACGCGTCAGAAACTGACAAGATGTGGAAGTGAAGAGGCGCACGTCGGCGATACCGGCAACCTGAGTCGCCGTGTTCCTCAGCTTCTCCTTGATGGGCGCTAGCTGTGAGGTCGCGCGTGTAGTCCAGCGCTCCCATGTCTCTTGGAAGGGCACCTTGGAGGTACTCATGAAAGATACGACAAAGGTGCTGGAAGTCAACAGGGGGGTTGTACTGATTGTCTGGTTCGCTGGATAGTAACCGGAATCGAAGAGTCGAGGGGTGAGAGGAATGTTTAGGACATGCTGGGTTATATCCCATCTGGAGCACAGGAATTGCGTGCTCATCGATGTCGGTCCACGGATCTCCACTATTGCACGAAGATGATCCAGACCGCGAGTCATCGTCCAAAACCGCTCGTCTTGATAAAAGTTCGGGTTGCATTGTTTGCACTAAATATCCGCTAATTCCTTTACCATTCTAGTGTTGTCAGATGAACACCTCGTTCGTTGTGATGATGCTGCTCACCTGCGGAGGCTCGGGAATTCGGAGATTCTGGGCACCATTGTCTCATTACAACCCACTTAATCCTCATCCGAGGAGGTAAACATTCCATCATCCCCCACACCGCCTGCCTCTCATCCCTGCTATCAATGCGAGGCATTGTACCAGGTTACAGCAAGCGCATCAAGGCTGTGATAGATCAGAAAGCAAGTCCATGGATCGACGTCGGCGACAGCTCTTCTTCGGAGACGTTGCCTTGTCAAGCCTTGCACCGTCAGATTGCTGGCGCAAAGAGGGGCGAAGAAGATAGCTTTTGCGCTGTTCTTGATACCAGGATCTGGGTGGATGTGGATTGCAAAATGGGGTAGAAATATGGCAAGCAAGCGAGGGAGTAGAGTATCTTGACAAAGACCACCACGACCTGGGACACACAAGATCTCCGTGTGAGCATGGTCATGACGCGTTCTCTCACGTGACCTAAAGTGGGTGACTCTATTTTTCTGAGATCGATCGGCGATCGATCACCATCGTACAAACGGACGTGATTAATATTGTTATAATCCTCAACCAGTCGCCCAATATACAACGTCGTTGCTGCATGAAGGTTATAATACCTACTTGTGTTGTTATCGTGCTATGCCTGTCCTTATTGCAAGCGATATCGTCTTCTCTTTTTCCATTATCCACGTGTACGATAAGCCATTGCTCTTGTTGAATATCTAGTGACTGTGTACGTTTCACGCACCTAACGTACCTCATCCATGTCTGCGATGATTACCATATTCCTCACACTGACCATCCTGACCCTATCACTCGCACACTCCAATCTTGGATCAAACACATTCTGTAAGCATGTCCCTCCCTCCTATACTCACACCACACATCACTAATCCTTTCGAAACAGTCTCAACCTACGGACCACAAGTCGATCTCCCCTTCACAGGTCCTCTCTCTTTCGCCCATCTCCCATATTCGAAATGTCTTGACCCCACTCCCACCCAAGCACAACCAGAAGAATTCGACGTCGCCCTCCTAGGAATGCCATTCGACACCTCAGTCTCCTACCGCCCCGGAGCACGATTCGGACCATTTGGGATCCGAGCTGGGAGTAGAAGGATAAGGCCGAACAGGAGCTGGACGATCGCGTGGGGTGCGGACCCGTATGAGGGAGGGAGAGTGTTGGACTGCGGTGATGTGCGTCCTTGTCTTCCTTCCCTTTGCCCTAGTGGGGACGAGCTGAACCTACATCTGAAGGTGCCAGTAGCGATCTCCGACAACGCACTCGCTCTCGCGCAGATGGAAGCAGCATACACCTCCCTTCTCTTCCATCCTACAAAATCCAATGCCTCCTACACCTCCCCGTTTGCCAAAGACGGACTCGAGCACCCGCGGATCGTCACCCTTGGAGGGGATCACACTGTTGTACTCCCGATCCTGAGATCGCTGAACGAGGTATATGGGAAGGTGACGGTTATTGTATGCCCCCTCTCTTCCTCCCTCCCAACGATTTGCTCATCCGTGTCTGTAGCACTTCGATTCCCACCTGGATACGTGGACGCCAGTCAACTCCGGAGTGTCAAACGACGAGAACTCGATCAGTGCCATCACTCACGGGAGCTTCTTCTGGAAAGCATGGACGGAGGGGCTGATGACGGAGCGGAATGTGCACGCGGGGATCAGGTGCAAGTTCTCCGTGCGTCCATTTCCCCTACTCTTCAGCTTCCAGGCATCGGGTTCGGCCCTGGTTGGCTGGTAGAGGAGAGAACCTGACAAGTGACAGGGACCACAAGACTTGGAACATGACTCCTCGGTCGGGTTCGCCCTTCTAACAACAGACGACATCGACCATCTTGGCTCTTCAGGTATCGCTGCCCTTATTAGGGAACGAGTGGGGGACGGGCCCGTCTACCTTAGTGTGGATATCGATGTTCTAGACCCCGCATTCGCCCCTGCCAGTACGTATGCGTTCCACTTACTCACAGACGTACGATGCTGATTTCGAGATGGGTAGCGGGCACGCCTGAAGCGGGAGGGTGGACTGTTAGGGAGCTCAAGGCCATACTGCGAGGACTGCAGGGACTGAACTTTGTTGGTGCGGACATTGTTGAAGTCGCGCCTGGCGTACGATACGAATGGTTCGTCTTCCCCGCCTCCTGTGATGGTGCGTATGCTGTGCTTGTACTGAGGCTGATGGATACGGTAGCGGAAGGCACAGCTGTCATCGCTGCCGATCTGGTGCACGAGTTTGTGTCAATGTTCCTGGCCCAAGGGCCGGTGAGAGAGGCGAGGGACACATGGGCGGAGAGAGGATGGGTAACGGAGTTTGTCGGGAATGGGAATGAGAATGGGTGAGTGGGAGCGCTTTTGGATAGGAAGGTGCTGAATGGGAGGATGATGTAGGAGGAGGAGGGATGAGCTTTGAACTTTTGGCTCTGACCAGGGGATGGGCAAGGAAATGGGAAATGCCGGGTTGAGTTGGGATTGGGGGTTGGAATGTGCCAGTTCGGACCTAGTTGCGTCGTGAGATGCTTAGGAAGAACCGGATTAAAGCACTAAATCGATGATAAGATGAAATTGGAACTCCGTGAAGACTTCGCTCTTAGCCCTTCGCTCTTCATCATCGGAAAGGCAGCTCAAGAGGACGACACGAACGTGACCTCAACCCTTGCACAGTAAAAGAAGAGTTGGTACCTTTGAGCATGGTGTTCAGCAGTGCGCTTACGAAGTAGCTCTCGTGATGGTAGCTGCCTTAACAGCTTAACAAGATAAGATTCAGGCGAGCGAGATCTTCCCAGGATCCAGTTCAGGAGCAGCTATTCATCTGCACCAGAAGCTATGTACACGTCCTCACTATCTCAACTCGTCGAGAGAGTGTGTTGTGTAGGCACTTCACCTCCATCTCTTAGGGCGTCTCAGACCCGCCGCTCATGTTGGCATCATCAACACTACTTCGGAACCAGTGCATCAGTACATCGAGCTGATGGTACGTTAAACTACTAAGCCAAAGCCGTCATTGAGACTCTTACTCGAGTGCACCCTTCAATTTACTCGCCTTCTCGCTCTCTTTGTCTAACTCTGCTAGTGCATCAGTGCACTCTGTCGCCCTGGGACGAACCCCAATAGTCTCAAATATCTCCCTCGTTTGGTGGAACATGTGTCTAGCCTCGGGTATCTGGTCCTGCTTGACGAAAAGACGTGCCAGGGACTGCCTGCGATCCGCCAACTCCCATTTATTCCCAAGGTCTTCGAATACCTGCTCAGCTTCTCGCAGCATACTCAATGCTTCAGTGTACTGAGACTGATCGACAAGTATATTACCGAGACCACGTACACATGCGGCAGCACCGAGACGCCCTGCTATAGCGTTAAACTCTGCCTTGCCTTCCGTGAACAGGGCGGCTGCCTCTTCATACTGGGACTGCATGCGCATGGTCTCGCCGAGAAGCTGCGCACATTGCGCAGCGCCAAGACGATATGGGATGGCCTCAAACGCTCCCCTCGCTTTCGTGAGTAAAGCGGCTGCTTCCTCGTACCGACACTGCACGTAAAGGATGTCGGCAAGAGCCAACAGGCATTGGGCCGCACCGACAGGATCTGGGATGGCCTCAAACGCTGCCCTTGCTTCCGTCAGCACAGCGGCTGCTTCCTCGTATCGACACTGCATGCGAAGGATGTCGCCGAGACCTCGCACACATTCCGCGGCACCGAAACGATGTGGGATGGTCTCCAACGCTGCCCTCGCTTCCGTCAGCAGAGCGGCTGCCTCCTCGTACCGACACTGCATGCGAAGCATGTCGCCGACACTCTGCACGCATTGTGCGGCACCGAGACGATCTGAGATGGCCTCGAACGCTGCCCTCCCTTCTGTCAGGATCGTCGCCGCCTCCTTGTAACGAGATTGTCCAAGCAGGATGTTTCCCAGGAGTAACAAACATTGTGCAATGTGCTTTTCTTGTTCCCCAGCGCGGTTCATAGAATCCATCCCCTGACCGTTGCTCGAGCTACCGCTGCCATCCGTGTCTTTCGACCTTCGCAACGTGGCAATGCTCGTTCTAAGAAGTGGCCCACAGTCACCATATCTTGTCATGGCTGAAAAATATGCTAGAGCTCTGCTTGACATGCGGCAAATGTCTAAAGTGAAAACCGGAGGTCTTGTGTGCCAGAGATGTAACAAGACAGCATTGAATTCCCAAACTCCTCGGTAAGTATCTGCACCATGTCGAAGCTGTTTTCGTGTGGAATCTCATATGCTCGATTGGCAAGCCGCATGAAGTATTCTCCCACATCTTTCAGATGCGTCCTATTGGCAGGGTATTGGGTCAGAATGAAATCGCGAATCGGCGACAGAGATCGGATTCACCCGCTCTCTTGGTATGCAAGTCCAGTGCGCAGTAGCACCAATGACGTCGTTGTCACGTTCCGTTCCATGGACGGGATCATGTCTGGGAGCGATTCGATCTTTGCTCCGTTGGGGAATAAGCAAAGGGCCGAGAGCAATGGCAGGCCTTCGGGATGGCTTGACATCGATGTCGACTCAAGTGAAAGTGGGATTGAGACCTCTAAGCTGTCCAATCGTCCCGCACCGTCGGACTTGACCAAATTGAACGCTTCGCGCTCATACGCTGCCAGAAGGGTGGAGGGAGGCAGGTCGATCCCTTGCAATGCCATCAAATGAATCGCCAACGGAAGTCCATCCAGTCTTTCCAACAGTTCGTCCAATTTCTCGTCGGTCTTCTTCGAAGTCTGCGTCCAGATCTGGCGGGCGGCATGAAGAGAAATCTTCTGAAGGGGCGGCATACTATCCCATGAGAGGCCCTGTGCAGGCTGCGTGCCTCTCATGGTGATAATCAATGAAAGTGAGGGCACGCGGCCGATTCGTCCAAGTAGTTCACGAACACGCTGCCTATCCGACTGTGTTGTCGTCTCGAAATTGTCCAGGGTGAGGAGAGCGCGGCCGAGCGAAGAAAGGTGTGCGATTAGGGATGTGCGAATGTTGGAGTCGCGTTGGATTTTGAAGAAGACTGCGAGCGCGTTTACCAGACCTTCTTCGGAATCGATGCCTTCACAGCTGAGGAAATACATATGCTCTCCATATCGCTCCTTGACCTGCTCATCGTTCATCGCCGCAACTGCGACCGACGTCTTCCCGATCCCTCCTGTGCCAAGTACAGGCACTCGGGAAGGTTTATCTTGAAGCAGCAGCTGGACGATTGACCCAACCACTTCATCTCTGCCGTGAAATGCCTCTGGTGTGGGGGGAATATCGACCAGGGAAGGCCTAGTTCACAGTCAGGCGGGAAGTGACGAGGGGAAAACACTGCATGCCCGTGTTGGCCCAGCGATCTCCCAGGGGTATCGTTTGACACATCTGTGTGAATCTCCTGGCTCAACGTTGGTACCAGAGCTCACGCTTGCCTGGGGATTTACTCACCACGCACTGGAGCCGGAGAGCATCGAGGCTCTTATGATACTTGCTGACCTTTTTTGCTCTCTTCCCCGTCATATCACCCTTCTTTCTGCCCGAACGAAGAAAGGCGTCAATCTTAGACACTTTGCTGATCAGGGGCGTTAGGATATGGGATTCAGACGGAAAAAATATTACGCACGTAGCAAGCGCCAGAACCACCTCTTTCGCCCTCTCGTCTGCTGGGCCATCAGGCGGGATACGTTCCAGGATGACTTGAGTCACCCAGGTGACTTTCAGCGCCAGTTGTCGACTGTCATCCTCCAGTTCCTGCATGGTCTAGTGAACGGCCAACGCGTCAGAAACTGACGAGATGTGGAAGTGAAGAGGCGCACGTCGGCGATACCGGCAACCTGAGTCGCCGTGTTCCTCAGCTTCTCCTTGATGGGCGCTAGCTGTGAGGTTGCGCGTGTAGTCCAGCGCTCCCATGTCTCCTGGAAAGGTACACTGGAGCTACTCATGAAAGATACGAAGGAGGGAGTTGGAAGTCAACAGGGGGTTTGTACTGGCGGTGCGGATCGCAAGACAGGGGGAAGAGACCGGTGAAGGGAAGATTTGACTCGAGGCATTCCGGATTATATCTCGTCTGGAACAGAGAAATTCATTACCCAACGATGTCGGTCCATGGATCTCCATTGTTGTAAACAGATGGTGCAGACCGCGGATCAGCGGCCCGAGCCGATGCTCTTGATGAAGTACCAATTCCTTTGTTTGCGATATACATCCCCTACGAACGTTCTGGCACTGTTGACTGAACCCCTCCAAGTCGTTCACCGTAATGATGCTACTCACCCATGGTGGTTAGTCTGATCCAAGATTGTAGGCACTATTGCCGCATTTCAACCCACTTGATCCCTCACGCCCTCTCCTCATACCCGAGGAGCTTGAAGATTTCATCGTCCCCCGTATCGCCTGCCTACGTATCCCTGCGATTCATGCGAGGACTTCTCCCAAGTTTCACCAGAGGTATCGAGTCTGTGATGCTGAGAAAGCAAGTCCATGGATCGAAGATGGCGACAACACTTCAAACTGAATACGTCGCCTCCACATGTGAATGCATGCATGTGCTTAACGGATCCCGCTTCCTGCCGACAAAAGGATTGTGTGACTATAAGAGATGTTCAATAGATCTAGGATAAACAGTGGCAGAGCAGGAGTATCAGGATGAGGACAAGTCGATGACCGCATTGACATCACTCCGTTTGGGAGTGAGGATAGATCCTGATCACGCCTTGTTGGTCGTTCACCCATGGTCAGTTGGATCATCAAGTATTCGCACGGTACATTGCGCCGTCGCTGTATGAGTGTTGATAGGAGCAAGAGAAGTCGATGGAATTATCAATACGCATGGTCCACTTTAGTAGTTGAACAGACCCACTCGCCCGCCGGACCCTCGGAACCGGAAATAATTTTGTCAAATTGGTCAAGAAAGAAATATTGAAGCCCCTGGACATGCAGCGTGGGTGGGGTAGTGGTAACCTTAATCGTTGCCAGCATTTAAAGCGACCTCGATTAGCCCCGGGTTCGATTCCCGGCTCACGCAGTTTCTTTTTTTTCTTTCCTGTTCGACCCCTTTTAATGATGTATCTGCATATATGGATGATTCGCTTTTGTTTTGGGAATATGAGAGCTGTTAGTGTCTTTGGGCCTTATTTCTGTTGGAAGCAGGACGTCCCTATTCGTTTGGGTCTCAGTGTTAGTCACTTCGCTGGTTGCTACTCACTGCAATCACTGTACATCCGCAACCTCTCCTTCACTTTGGTCGATCTCAAGATTCTCCAAGTTCTCGAGTGCCTCTGCAGCCTCTTTCACTTTCCAAGTAAGTCTTATCTGATCGTATGTCTCCTTCGCTTGCTCAAACATTCGTCTCGCTTCCACATTGCTGCCTTGTTGTGTCAAAGTATATCCCAGGTCCATGTTGCAATTTGCCGAGTCCGCCCTTCGACCAATGCGAGTGAATATTGACCGCGCTGCCTGCAACCTTTCGATCCCTTGCTGGCACTGATTCTGCATGCGGAGGATTACGGCGCTAATCCTCAAGCATTCTGCGACACCGCTATGGTCCGCCATGCTTTCGAACACGGATTTTGCCTCTGCAAGCATATGCGCCGCTTCTACATACCGACCCTGCCTGCGTAAAGCATCGGCAAGGCTCCGCATGGAGTGGGCCATCCCATTACGGCTGCCGATGGATTCGAATGACCGTCTGGCGTGGTGGAGCGTGTGAATCGCATCGTGGTGCCTTCCCTGCATAGTCAATATCACCCTAGGCCATTCATACACCTAGCCACACTGGCAGGAGTTCCTATAGCCTCGAATAACGCTTTGGCATCTTGGAGTTTACACGTCGCCTCCTCATAACAAGCTTGCTCAGTCAATATCTCGCCAAGCGTCGCCATACACTGTGTTGCGCCGAGGCGGTCGCCGATAACTTCGAAGGTCTTCTTCGCATCTTGAAACATATGTCCTGCATCATCGTACCACCCCTGACAGAATAATATACTGCCAATGTCCGTCGAGCACTGTGTCGCACCCAGATGGGCGCCGACAGCTTCGAAGGCCACCTTGGCGTCTTGCAACATCTGCGCTGCGTCATCGTACTCAGCTTGCATGAGCAACATATTGCCGAGGCTCTGCATGCACTGTGCTGCGCCAAGGCAGTTACCAACAGATTCGAACGACACTTTGGCCTCTTGGATAATATGTCTTGCCTCCTCATACCTGCCTCGCATGCGAAAAACTTGGCCCAGGCCCTGTGTGCACTGTGCTTCACCCAAACGGTGATTGACAGCGCGGAAGGATGTTCTCGCATTTTGCAGCATATGTGTTGCTTCATCGTATCGACCCTGGGTGAGCCGTATAGTGCCTAGGCTCCTTGTATAGCGGGCCGCATCCTGAAGCATACTGATTGCCTCAAAGGACGCTTTGGCCTCCTGGAGCATATTCGCCGCCTCATCGAGCCGACCCTGGCCGTGCATTATTTCCGCTAAGTCCTGTGTGCATAGTGCGGTCCCATGACGGTTGCCGATATCTTCAAATAAGGCTTTGGCTTCTTGGACCATAAGTGTTGACTCCTCGTATCGAGTTTGGGTACGTAGAACTCTTCCTATAAACTCAGTGCATCTTGCTTCCGACAGCTGCTCGTTGACGGTGTGAAAGGCCGCTTTAACTTCTCCTAATAAAGAAACGGCCTCCGTGGATTCGTTACGTAGGTACAGTATTTTCGCGAGGCGAAATGAACATCTCGCTGCAAGGTAGCGATTACCCCTTATTTTCGCCGTAGTCGTTGCTTTCCGTAGTAGGGGCACAGTGTCGCCAGTTGAAGTCCGGGAGGAGAAATATGCCACATAATCTGTAAAGTCGACGAGGTGATTCGAATCATAGCGTGCAGTTTTGCCTTGCCAAAGATGCAAAAGAACAGAGGTGATGTTTGCAAGTTCAGCATGGATGACTTCAAAAGACTTGGGGCTGCCCTGGCGTTCATAGATTGGGATCCGCGCGGCGAGAACCATGAAGTATGTTTGAAGATTCTCCAACCAAGGATCTGCTGGCGGATGATGCTCTAACATATAATCGCGAATTGGCGACAATATCCGCAGTCGTCCACTCTCGTCATGGACCATTCCTACCTGCAACAGCACCGAAGCGGCGACTAGCACGTGGTCACTCATCGACGGTATTATCTCGACTAACTTCTCCACTTTAACGCCATCAGGTAGGAGTGAAAGAGCGGAGAGGAGCGAGAGTGCGTGAGAGTTCTGCAGCATGAGCTCTGATTCGAGGGATATCTTGATAGAGACTTCTAGATTTTCCAACCTCCCCCTCGTCCCGACCTTCAGCATTTTGGTCCTCTGGCTTTCGTACGCCGCGAGTAATGCCGTCGGCATCAACATTCGTCCTTGGCGAGCGAGGAGACGGATCGCTAAAGGAAGTCCATCCAGATGTTGCAGCAGCTCGTCTAATTTCCCGTCGGATTTCTTTGCGATCTGCGCCCATATCTCACGGGACGCATCTAGAGAAAGCGCACCGAGTGGGGACACGTCATCCCACTCCACACCGTCTGGCGGCAACATTCCCCTCATAGTGATGATGAAGGACAGTTGTCGAAGGTTGGACAGTCGTCCCAGCAGTTCTTCTACATGCTGTCTGTCCGCTTGGACTGTAGTCTCAAGGTTGTCTAGCGCAAGAAGCGCTCGTCCCATGAGATGCAGATACCCAATCACAGCTGCGCGAGTGTTGTTGGTAGCTTGAACGTTAAACATGGCCAGCAATGCCATGATGATTCCCTCTGCGGATAAGAGACCCTCGCAGCTGAGGAAGTAGATGTGTTTGCCATAGTGATCTTTGACTCTGGCATCGTTCATGGCAGCGCATGCGACAGACGTCTTGCCGATTCCGCCAGTTCCGAGCAAAGGGATCCGGGACGGCTCAGGCTGGAGGAGGAGTTGGACGATGCTTGCGACCAATTCGTTTCTACCGTGGAAAGCCGTTGGGATGGGGGGTATGTCGAGAATGGGTGAGTCCGACGGCCTAGAATAGGATGCATCAAAACATCGATCACTCGTCCGTGTTGGACAACGTACCCTTGCGGCACAAGAGCCCTCGACATGCTCTCGCTGAGGACGTCGACACGTGTTTCCTAGGTCAAAACATCAAATTTTGTCCAGAAAAACATCGTGAGCACTTGCCAGGTATTGCAGCCTTAGCTCGTCTAGAAGATTATTGTTTTCTTGGAACTTTGCCGCTCTTGCCTCACTGATGCGCTGCCTAGCATCCGAAGGTGGATGCTTGAGAAAGCAGTCGATCTTGGATATGGATCTACGTAGTTTGGTGAGATATCAACGTTCTAATGTCACAAGTGACAACGCACTGTGTGAGCGTGTGGATAAGCTGTTCCGCAGCTGCGTCCCCAGGGCCTTCCGGAGGCACGCGTTCTAGGACACGCTCCGTCACCCAGATGACCTTGGATGCGAGTTCTTGACAGTCCTTTGCTATGTTTTCCTTCATCTGGAAGAATAAATGAAGTTCAATATTGATTGAGATAGTTTGGTAGAGAGTCGCTTACGTCTGCGATACCTAGCACCTTCATTGCGGTGTACTCCAGCTTCTCCTTGACGGGCCCCAGTTCCAATCCTCCAGTAGCCTTCGATTTCCAACGTTTCCAGGTCGCGCCGAACGAAGGCGCTGCGCCACGTACCTCCGAATCCGTGTCACTCAAGCGTACATGAGGCGCGCTTGTTTCATCCATAGAAGGGTGATGCATCCACTGCAGAGAACAATCCATGTACATGCATGGCGAGCAATATAACGAAGGCGAAAAAGAGTTCGGTTCGGTTCGGAACGAGTAGTCAATTCATGCTTCCCATTAGGTAACGACTAGTACGCTCCGTGAACCAGCTGGAAGGAGAACAGGGGCATCGAGCATTAGCAAGCAGCACTCCAGGACTGGGTGCCCGCGGGATGCGCCACAAGCTCGATAAACGACCACCTGGGCCACGGAGAGCTCCAGAAATCAATATTCAGTATAATCAAAGACAGACGATGGTGCCTGTACAAGCAGCGCTGATCAACTCCTGATGACTTGGGATCGGGTTCTTCGTGGTGGCTGTGGCTTGACTGGACCCTGACCCCAAGTTTGCTTTTCTCTCCTATGAAGACCGCTCTTCAGCGCTGTATCCCTCATTTCCAACGGATATCGTTCACGTCCAACGACAAGGGTGGCATCGCATCCCCGCATGGCCATCAATCCGCAGCTAATTATCCGATTATTTTACTTCTGCCCCATCTCCGCCACTCAAGCGGAGCACGAAAGACAACAATCACCGCGGTTGGCGGTCCACAAGGACGACGATGCTATTCTATACAAGCTCCCTGCAATCAAGTGATACCTGATTCCGATCATCCGATTCGGCAGATTCTCTGGTTGACACCTGATTCAACGCAAAACCATGACCAGTATAACGCAACTGCTGTGCCTCAATACAATCTAACCACCTCGTCCTCGGCCGTCTCCTCGTGCGTCTGTTCTGATGCACTGGACCGCACGCTCATATATCCCAGATACTACCCTCAACGTGATGGCCCACCACAGCAAGGATGGAACGCATCGTACACTGGGAGCAAGGCGTGGAATTCGACAACTTCATGGGGTACCGGAGTACCATACAGGACCACGCTGTTTGAAAGGCCGATCGCACAGATCCAGTTTATCGGTGCGCCTCTCTATTCACCAGTCCCATGATCTGTGGTTGATGATGATCCTCGGTGAACAGCATCAGGGATCTACCTCTGATTCACGCACTCGTACACCTTCGCGGTTGATCAGCAATCCGTATCGATCGCAGGTGATCCCTCAGATCCCGCATGTTCAACATTCACATCAGGAGGAGCAAACGTTGAGAGCATGGTATATGCTACGGGATTGAGTGCTGGGCGGCAGCATACACCACACTTGAACTTAGCGTCGGTGATTTTACATCAACTTTCAACTTCTTTGGAGGAGTGATGTCGCTGTGGATCAAGCCGGGCGAGTCTTGCTATCTCATCCGGTGAGAGATGATATTGATTGCAATCAGGGATATCCTATTCCGAAAATACGTCAACAATGATGCCACTAGATGCTTGTACGCCATCTGTACGGTGGGTAGAGGGTGGTGATCTGTGTTGTGTATGAATGCTCTCCAGGATTCGCTTCCGCCCATTGGTTTCGATTTCGACTATCTGACCTGCCAATCGAACTGAAGATTTTCCAACTATCCCCCAGATTCGATCGCCAACTCACGTAATAGGTATATTTTTTCGTTGGTTGACATACTCCATCTCATACGCACCGATGATTGCGTAGCCGAATCCCCACCGTTTGTCAGCAAGCTTAGCATGATCATAGTTGAAACAGCCCAATAAAGTCACAATCTTGAGCATTTCTTTTAAACCTTCCCTACCTACTACACAAACAGGGTCACTTTTGTCCTACAGTACATGATGCAGTCTTAATCCGTTCCCGAGGTCGCTCCTAGTGGTAGTAAGGCGCTGCGACGGCCTTAACGAGGTCCCAGACCTCATCTAGCACTTTGCAGACCTCTTCCGGAAGGGGACCTTTTTCGAGGTCGATGAGGTTCTGAATTTGAGAGGGTAGTGTTAGGGTATGCGTATTCTACAGCGGAAGGGGAGGACGTACCTGCTCGATATGCTTCAAGCTCGATGCTCCGATTAAGATACTGTCCCCGAACTCCCTCTTCATAAGACTATGATGCGACACCCACCTGAGCGCGACCTCCGCCATCGTCAGCTGGTGCTTGTCAGCAACGGCCTTAACGAGTTCGAGTGCTTGGAAATAGGTGTCGTTCCAGTAGCGCTTGCGGTAGGACTGACCCTGATTTTTTGTGGGGTCGAAGCGCGAACCTGCTTCGACAAACTGGTCTTTGGAGGAATACGTGCCAGTGAAGAACCCGCCGCCGACTGAAGGATCTGTCAGGAGCTAGGCGTATGGAGAGAAGAGAGGAACTCACGCGGGTTGAACTCGTAGAAGCTGATTCCAACTGCAAGGCTCAGCGTGTGCCTGTACAAGAGCAGGAATGGACTCACACTTGCGCATACAGGGGAAGAGCTCGGGCTCGACAGCACGGTGGATGGCATTGTAGATCCCTTGGTAGAGGGTGGGCTGGATCCATCCGTTTGCGCGGCAAATGAGGACCATCTCCGCTACTTCCCATGACATGTAATTGGAGATGCCGAACTGCGCCGCACATTAGTCCACTTCTGCTTCAAACACACGCCAAGGGGGGGAAGAGACGCACCCGCTTGAACTTGCCTTCCTTGTGCAGGTCGTTCACGGCCTTCAAGGTCTCCTCGTACGGTACTCCCCTATCGGGCCCGTGCAAATAAAACGTATCGATCTTATCCGCCTGCAAGGCCTTGAGAGATGCTTCCAGTCCTTTGCGTACGCCCTGTTCGAGGTCAGCGCCAGAAAAGAGACGAAGACGGAGGTCTGACTTCGGCGCTGTGCGTGATTGCGTCTGCGGAGCCCAACCTGTTACGCGCACCGGTGGGGTACAGCTTGGTCATCATCACCAGGCCTCTCTGCTGCCATCCGATCTGCGGAGGTATGAATCTAAGAGAATAATCAAGAATGCGAAGGGCACACCTTGCCGAGATACTCCTCGCTCGTGCCACCACAATAACCACGGGCGGTGTCGATCTCCGTATGCCCATGGGCTTGGAAGACGTCGAGGATGGCCTCAACGTCTTTAAGGTCATGTACACGAGCCTGCTCCTTGCCCTCTTCGCCAAAGGTCATGGCGCCCTACGAGAATACGGCGAGGAGAAAGGGGCGAATGTCAGGTCGCGTTCTACTCGCGATGAGAGGTACGCACCATGACGATGTTCAATTCAGATTTCTGTTCAGGCATGGTAAGCGGTCAAAAGTAAGGAGTTGAGATGGTCGACGTTGATACGTATGTATGCCATCCTCCCCACCCTGCTATTCGCGACCTATATAGCCTGCGCGATGCGTACAGTGGAGGTCATCCTTCAATTCGATATCCACGCTGGTTGACTCAATGACAATGACGATGTGCCGAGATGCCGCGCCAGACCCTCGATGGCACAATCCTACGACTGGGATAAGGAATGTGGGCACGACGACCTGTTGACTCTAGACGGCGTTGCATTTTGGTAGTTGTGCTGTACTGTTGATGTCGATGTTGGGAAAGGAGTTGTCGCAACGACCAGAAGTTCCAGTCGACCACGAACTTTCCACGCGGGGCGCCACTTTCGATCATGGGAGATGGTCGTTTGACACCAGGATGTACTGGATGTCCACGACCCGCTCAGTCCCACAACGTCGGCTGCGTAGGGGACTTCAGCAAGCTGACGTCCAGCTCTCTTGGTCTTTACGACCTTGGAATACTAATTAGTGAAAAGTACCACTGATCAATCCTTGCATCTCGTCGAGAGCAAGGACTGACTACCAGTAGATAGAGCAAAGAATAATTCCTTTCATGTTATCGTTTGACAGCGCCAGATGCTCTGAAGAAGACCCCACTGATCGTCATAGGGTTATGTGGTCGCTGGCACGCCGGGCACTCTGATCTGCAGAGAACAAACACTAGCATTCTGAGCAGTACGGACTAACGTTTGATGTGTGATGGAATGATAGTTCGATAGGAAACTGTCCGCCTACTTTTCCTCATCCCCAGTCCTTCCAGCGGCCGCGTCTGTCTCCGAGATTCTCCTGCAGTCCCATCGCATGCTGTAGGGTATAGCTCAGCTGAAAATCTTGCCGTGCTCGTTCATCTTCATCTTTCGACCAGCTTGGCCGACAGGCCTGAGGACCAAGCTCACTTCTTCTTCTTCGTCTCGGTTGCTTTCTCGGGCGGCGTGCTGAAAGGCGTATTAGGCGGCGATGGAGCAGGGGGTCAGATAGGACGAGAGCGAACATAGGCAAGTGGTTGGCTAAACCTATCAGGATCGTGGCTCCTGGACATGCCAGCGTCACGATCCGGAGGGAAGAGCCTAGGAGGATCGGGCTTTTGCGTGTGATTGTTGAACTTCTTGCGCTCCAGCCCGGTGTGGAAAATGGCAAAGCAGATCTTAATGGGACAGGGGACCCGATGGAGCATACATCAGCAGGGTTGTGCCTCCCACATCGATCTGGTAAAGAGGGCGAGCGCTGCCTTTGGTGCTGGTGCCGTTAGAGGGGGGAACAGGTGGAGCATCAAAGAGCAGAGGCGTGCCTCCCACATCGTTACTATTGCGGGGAGCGCTGCCTTTGGTGATGGTGCCGTTGGAGGGGGAAGCAGGTGGATCATGAATGCGCGTAAGTCCGCCTCCCACACCGACAAAGTAACGAGGGCGAGCGCTGCCTTTGGTGCCGGTGCCGTTAGAGGGGAGAACAGATAGCTCATCAATGAGCATCAGCCTGCCTCCCACACCTTTATGGAAACGAGGGCGAGCGCTGCCTTTGGTGCTGGTGCCATTGGAGGGGGAAGCAGGTGCGCTGGACTCATCCTTGTTGGACGGAGAGGGAGAACTTCCAAGAGACCCAGGAGAAACCCAGGGGTTCTCTGTTGCCAGAAGATCAAGGATTGGGACTTGGTATTTGATGTCCTTGACTGCCGCGAAGTTGGCGGCTGCCAGTGTGATATCGAGGAGGGGATCCGGGGAAGCCAGGGCGGGAGAGGCATCGAAGCTGATGAGATCGGGGTAAAAACTTGAGGAGGTTTAGACGATGACATGCTGTCATTGCCTGGAACAGATCAGTCAAGCTGTGGAAGAAACTAAGGCATTGGAGCTTACCGATGCTGCTGCCGCCCAGATCATTATTCGTCGTAGCACCTCCCTCTCCCATATTCATTTATGTCATATTCCTTGAAGGCATGTGAGATCTACAAAAAAAAACCTAGTATGTAGGACCAAAACAAGTGAGATAAAAGAAGAAATATACTTGTAACTGATGGCCGAGGATGGTGGATTGGAAGTGGAAGAGGACACTTGTGCGCGCTTTGTGTGAGGGCTTGGAGTACGCGTACCCGAAACCTCTCACGTGACATAGGCGCCGAGGAATGTCATTTATTATCTAAAAAATGATATTATTCACTTATCGTGAAACCCTTAGGCGACTGTGTGAGGGAGTAGCGCAATGGCCGAGAGATGGACGAATTAGTGTGGAATTAGGAGAAGGAGTTCACCAGTGCGATTTGTTTGAGAGCCGTAGAGGAATATAAGAGATGTGTTCTCCTGGGCTGCGACGCGTACTGACTCGGATTAGAGTTATGTCCAACGCGTATAATGTGAACGACTCTCCTCTCCCTCTCTTCCGACTCCACGACCACATTCTCATGGACGACAGAGCCGACGAATGCGCCATGCCCATGGACAGGACCACCCACGAGCCCTCTTATGGCCGACGTGGAGAACATATAAGCCGACAGATACGTGACAAGTTCAGTGGAGGAGGGCCGAAGGACATGTCAGGCGGGTAGGTGCGTCCATAAACAGGAGATGCTTCGGGGATCACTGACCTGGACCTGTGCTTCCTAACAGGGCGGGATCCTTTTCTGAGTCTACAGCGCCTCCAAAGTCTCATGACTCTCGCTTCAAATCTCCCGGCGAAACACCGCTCTCAGCAGACACGCTTCCCTACCTCTACCCACTACGACTTCTAGTTTGCTCAATCAGGCGGTCGTGCTGTCGCCCAGAGGGTTGCCCCACCCCCGCTACGGTTCTCATCAGTAGCACGCTCGACCCCCGTGTATCCGTGCACCAAAGTTGAGGTCTATCACGTCGTCAACAGCGACAGCGACGCATACACGAATCTCACCTGCTCCATATGACCACAAAGGCCATATCTTCCGTACATACGTACACCAAGCGCTCGAGTATATGCGCTCAAAGACTGCGATCAACGCATCCCCTGCCCATCCTTCCTCTCCCGAGGCTCCGAGCACGTCGGCAGTAGCCAGTATGTGGTAGCACCACGTCAACCCACCGCAATACAGCACGAGCCCATCCGCACTCCGACTCCAGCCATCACCAAGTCCAGGTCTTAACATGTGGTCAAACCCCTCTTGGCACCCGCACGCCGTATTCAACCTGCGGAGCGACGCGCAGCTGAAAACCTCGCAACTGGCGAAACTGGCTGCTGGGAGTAACGTCTGGCTAAACGTTCGGGTTTGGTGGGGCAGGGGTTGATAACGAGTTATCGATATTGATTGGCCGACGATTCGCCTACGAGTTGCTTTCTCCACGCCACTTTCCCTTTTAAGCTTGCCTTGATCTTTCGTCGAGGTACTCGGAAATACGCGAGAGGACGTGCCCCGACGAAGGCGAGGAGTTTCGAACGCGGGATACAGCCTTACGCCACCTTCCTGGAGAACATCTGACGAGGCGGACACCTCGTTCCTACCGTCCATATCCGAGATAATATGCACTTCCCTCGACAAACCTTCGCTCCCCGAGACGAGAGAGAGTCAACGATCATCTTGCGCTTCTCGTTTCGGAGAATTCGCAACGCCGCGGACCCTCGGCCGACCATATGTATCCTCCCTTTCCCACACAGGGCAGCCCATCAGGCGCGTCTCTTCTTCCTCTTCTTTATTTGCGCATCTTCCCGCGAACCCCACCCAGCAACGAGCTTAATACTTACGTAGTATGAGCTGCTGGCTCAGTTCGAAGGATCGCTATAGAGACGCAGAGCAATGGGGCGCACGGAGCTTGAGCTGTCAATCGTCATGCGGGGATTGGTCCTGTTCCAGCGTGTCTGAGACGACATATCTCCCTGAGCGAAACTGTCGTTCTACTCGCTTGATGAGTTCGGTGTGCGGTTGGGATATGCGGGATTGCCTGACCGACAACGTTCTGCTACGGCTGATGCACCACCGAGTCGGTCAAGCCTGGCCGGCCTCTGGCACTCTCCACTGAACTGATAATCACCCCGCCAAACGCTTTCACCGCCACGACCTATGTTTTCACTCTCAATCTGAGAAGGGGGTGCTTAAAATGGCGAGTTGATAATCTGCTGCCTCTGTCTTTATTGATCATCCATCACAGGCTTCTGCTACGCCAAGGTTAATTCATCCGGGTCCTCTGCTGGCACCCAGCCTTTGCTGTGCTTCTTCGCCCCCCATGCGGCGCGGAGTTGATGAACATACCGCGGTATTCTGTTCAGGGTGAGAAATATACCGATAAAGAAGCCCAGGAACCTCCAGGAACGAAAATTATTCCATGCGTTTGGAGCTGCAGGAACACCAGCCGCGGCCCATTTTCTGCTTATACATAAGGATGTGGGAGTACAACCAGGCCAGAAATGCTGCCCCCCGCGTTTGCGCAAATAACGGACTTCTTCCTTGACGTCCATGATGGTCCTCTCTATCTCTACGATCGGCAAGAACTTCTTCGACTGGCTGCGATTTATCTTTTCTAAAAAAGGCATCCCCACATGGAAAGGTACGCCTGGTCAATCCGACAGCTGGTCCGTGCTGACGATACTTAGGAACATTGGCCTATGTCATCGCTTACATCCTCGCTTTCATCAATCCGTTCACGGAATTGATCGCCGCCCCTCCACAAGTATCCGGTACGCTTCTTCGCCCCATCAGGCCGCTTCAACTATTGACATTTTGAATGAAGGTCTGATGATCATCGTCGTGCTTGCTGTGGCTGGTGCTCCGGTTGGCATCTGCATGGACGGCATGATCTGGATTATCTTTGGGATCATGCTTGGCGCTCTCTGTGCCTACATTCTCTCTTACCTCGCCGGTGCACTTGTTGCGCAAGGCATCGTGTATTTCATTCTCGTTTACAGTTCGTCTCATTCCTTGTCTGGTCCAGTGCTCTCTTGACCTTGCGTCTGGCATAGTTTTCTCCTACGCCAAGGCCGTCTCTCTGAAATATCTTGCTTTCACCCTTCTCGGCATAGTCTGGTGCGTCAGTGGAGTGGCTGCATCTCTACAGTAAGCTTCCTCGCATACAGCTCCGTGTGTTCTACCTCTGACCACAGTCCAAAGAAACAACAATCAACCTAACATACCTTTCATCGTCGGCACCATCCAGGCCTACTTCTGGGGATCAGCCATCGTGTTCTTTGTCAATCTTTTTGTGTTTCCTGTTTCCTGCGAGACAGTACTCCGAAACACCATGGTATCAGCCTTGGGTCACATGGATACGCTCTCTCGGCTGCTCTTACAAGCCTACGCTTTCGATCTCACGGAGGCTGACGCGATATTGCGAACGCAGCTTGTTGGACAGTTGCGCGTAAGTTCTTCAATCTCCTCTTGTACCAGGCTGAACATCTTACAGAGGGAAACAGATGTTATTGAACAAGTGAGTAAGAGGCAACGAGTCTATGATGTCTCTTAAGCCGGAAATTAGATGCTTGCTGGCACATATTTCGAAATATCTTGGTCGAAGTGGTCGATGGGAGACATCACCGGTCAAACAAAAGTTATTCGCAAGCTGCATGAGGTGCGTGACTAGAGGTTAAGCATGATCTCATTGCTAACATTTGGCGCTGCAGACCCTCATGAGCATCAATGCCGACTACGCCGCCGCCGAGAAAGCAGGATGCCTAAGGGAGATCCGTGATCGATTCTTACAAAATACTGTTCCTGATATGAAGCGCGTATCTACCGGTAGGGATCTTCGATCTAGCTGTAAGGATCGCTTAATAAACGTACGAGCAGCCATTTCCCTCACAATCTCGGAACTGCTGCTTGCACTCGATCCCACCTTCCAGTCTCTCAAGACACAAGATATCACAAATCCGTTGGACCTTGAAAGACAAAATATGGCTGATCAGACTGGCCCGGACATTCAAAATGAGGAAATCATACGAGCGTTCAAGCAGAGGTTCGCCGAAGAGATAGATAAGCACGACTTAGCAGCGACCGCGACCAGCTCGGCGACAATTTTGAGCCCATCTTCTGATATGACAGGCACGGTCAAATCCAGTTTCGCTGACACACCTGTTGCCATTCGCGCCCTCCACGAGAACGTGAATCGCTGGACCTCACCGCAGCTCGATATCGTCGGTCATTTACTCCTTTCGGGTGGCTTTGATGCCAAAGATCGGCCTCTAGTGCTTAACGCACCTTTGGCGTCGATTGCGCACACTTTCGGTCAAGAGTCTTCTCCGGGTGTGGTGGGGAGCAGCGAAGCCCCCTTTCCGTACACGTTACGCTTGGGTTCTATAGCGCCTTCTGTTAATTCCGACGACACAGAGAAGGATGGAGAAGAACTCAGCCTGGTGGATAGCGCGACTGACAGAGTTGGTCAGGCTCTTGTGCGAATGTACTCCCTGATGTTTGCTGTTCAGTACGTTTGAGAACTTCCGCAGCTGGTATGTACTAATCCTGAGGCAGCCGTCTCTCCGGTGAAGTACAGGAATTGTACGAAGCTGTGCTATCGAGTGACGGTCGGCGACGACGATTGCACCTACATTGCTACCAGCACTTAGTCAGCCGCACGCGCACCAAGGGACACTCATCTACCGTCCCACTGACTGAAGCGGCCCAGTCGATTGGTGCACAGAGCGCATCGTTACCGAAGCGCCGATTCTGGGACTGGCTGCTGATAGCGGAGCAATCTCTTCTTGGCCCGCGAAATGTCTATGCATTCAAATTGACCCTGGCGGTGAGTCGAGCATAAAACAACCTGGCGCTAGCAGGCTGATGCAGTAATAGATTGAGATCTTGACGATTCTTCTTTGGGCACCGGTTGTCAGGACATGGTTCCTGTCGTATGGACTGCCGGTATGTTCATGCTGGTTCTGCGGCCGACCGACTCACGTCTTGTCTCAGATTACTGTGGTCACAGTTGTACTGCTCGTGACTCCTACGTTTGGTAAAGCTTGGTGCTTATTCAATACGAATTGACCCATTTCGGCTCTAGGTGAAACCTACATATGGACAGCGCAGCAGTTGGGAGGTGTTCTAGGTTATATCACCGCACTTATTTTGCTGGAGGTATGAATGTCATGATAACAATCTACGCCGCTGATGTCCGCTCATAGATCTTCCGCAATGTGGGGTAAGGACCTTGTTCGACCGAATCTGATATTTCCTCATTTTTCACAGCGGATATGCATATAATCCCTATGGCATCGTCTGTATCATCGGCGTATGGACCGTTCCTCTAATGTACATTATGCATGAGGTGGTAAGTGCGGCGTTTCTTGAAAGTGTATTCCGCTGACTTGTTGCCAGCCCATCGGATTTCCGTTTGGACTTTTGGCCCTGGTATTGTGAGTTTATGCAATGTTTGGCTGTAAATGAACTTATGATCGATACGATGTCAGCGGTGCTATCTATATGTGCAACAATTACGTGAACGTGGTGATTCTTGGCGCACCCTATGATACCCCGTCCTACTCCGCTGGTACGCCGGCGTTATTCACCGTCATTTAACAAGCTGAGACTGTCGCAGCTAAAGCGCTCACAACCATTGCGGTCGGAATCGCGCTTGGCGTTGTATTCCAATTCTTGATCTTACGCAACCCCGCGAGGAGAACGCTCCGAAAAGGGCTCATCAGCCTGCTCCACAACAACCGAATCTATCTTAGCGTCTTACATGCATATTTCCGTTTTCGTGCGTCCTCTATTCAGTGTGCTGATGTGAGTGCTGCTGACCTGATGCTGACTGTCTAGTGCAAACTCCTGAAACAAGTTTGAGTGTTCCTCCAGCAGCATATCACGCCGTGGAACTCGAGCTCGAAAGAAGAGAGGCTGGCATCCGAGGACAAATCGGCAACATCGCCCCTATGATTGGGTCAGTATGAATCACTTTCGAGTGTGATCATTCCTTATTGAACTGTAGAAATGTATTCGGCGAACCTTACTGGGACGCACCATTTGGCGCCGACGCTGCAAAAAAGGTATTGGAGGCTAATGAGATTTTGCTTGGTAAGCTTTCCTTGCTTACGTGGTGCATTTTGGCTCATGACGAAACAGACCGTTTGAAGGATGCTCGGTCGGCTATGCGGGGGCAACCTTTTGACCCATATCTCGCTCAGAATTTTGTCTGGGTTTTGGCACCATATCGACGCCAATGGAACGTTACGGTCCGAATGGCATTATACTTGAGCGCAGCGTCCTTAAGCGCCCAGACACCTTTGCCGGCTGATATGTTGAGAGTTCCTTGGAAATTCGTCAATGATATGGTGCAAGATTCGCTTTCTCTCAGTGCAAGCTTGGGGAAGAGCGACGAGGGTCGTGCCGCACTCAAAACGCAAGATTTTGCACGTTTCTGGTACGCCATATTATTCTACTGTTATTTTCGAAATGCTAAGAATCTTTTTCAGGTATTTCCTCCTCGTTATCTCTGCCGCCACCGAGCAAGTCAGGTATGTTCCATGTGGCATGTTCCAGTTCCCTGATGGCTCATCAACTAAACAGAGCAATCGAGGAAGCCTGCGCGGCAATCTATGGCACAGATGAGACAATTTACTAGACGAGTGTGAGAGGGTCCAATGGGTCCTGTATAACTTGACAGGATTGGCTCGTCTTCCTCCATGGGATAATCTTGGGGTTAGAGCGCGTTCATTTTGCATTATTAGGATAAGTTATCAGTTGGCGCGTCATTAATTGACCTACGGGCAGACGGTCTGAAATTAATAAAGGAAAATTCTGCCCTATTTCTCGGGTTTATATTCGCATTCTGTTCATCCCAACATACCAGTGCAGCGGATGCCATTCACCTTGCTTCACGTACCACAATCTATATACATCAGAAGACGACGCCTGGGGATGTTTAAATAACATTTTGATAACTATACAATGAGACAGTGTTTGGGCTGAAACACGAAAAACCAAGATCGTCCTTAACAGGAAATACACGGATGGAATACAACATACAGAAATGTTCGAAAAACAGTCATTGTGCTTGAATGGCAATTTCAAGGAGGTCGAAGAGCATTTTAGCGGTCTCTTTTGTCGGCATTGATTTCATACTTACCCTCGAGATTCCAGACGTACGAAAGTTGTCAATTCGTCGTCGTGGATTCATGGGCGTGGGGATACCTCGTCATATCCGGGTGGAAGCCGTCTCTCCTGACCCCCACTCTGCCCACCTCTCGCAATCCGATCACTCAGCACCTGTACCAAGTCTGCTGTGCTGGCATGCTGCAATTCAGAAGGTGTGGGGCGCCGCCTTTTCTTGCGCGAACGGCGCTCTCCGCTATTTGCAGTTCGTGGAGGAGAGTCCGTAGTCCCAGCCCGTGACTCTGTTGCATGAGTGGATGGAGTGCCAGGTGTCCCGGGTGTTGAAGGAACGGGGAGGAAAGGGGGTGATCCTGGCGTGCTCCCAGAGCTAGGCGACATAGGCGCTGGTACGTGTCCGACAGCGGCGACCTCTTCGGAGTCTAACGCCCTCGGCACGGGTTTCCGTTTGATACCCTTCCTATCCTTCCTCTCCTTGTTCTCCTTCCTCGGGCTTGTCTCCTGCATCGTACCCTTCTCTGTCACGGCGAGAAGCGGCGGGCTGGGGAACGGGGTCATAGATGTGCTGACGATTGGCAGCTTTCCTTCGCTTGTGCTTGAGGTTAATGTTGGGCGGGAGCCGTTTGCTTGGGAAAGACCTGGAGAAGTTGCAGGTGGAGGAAGAGAGTATAGCGAAGGCAGCTCGTGCGGGTGTAGAGGGTGCGGAAGGAGCTGCTCTCTCTGTCTCCGATGCCAACGGAGAAGAAGGAACAGCAGCAACGCGAGGAGCGCCAGACCTCCCACACCACCAACTACACCACCTACGATGGTCCCCGTTGGTGTGGAAGAACCAGAGCCAGTATCGCCTCCTGAACCGGTGATGTTGCTGCGGGGCGACACGGCTTCGACGAGGACGAGCGCATCGATGTTCAGGCACCCACCAGTTTGTGGAGCATTAGCGTTCCAGTCGCTGGCGGTGATGGTGTGGTTCTGTGTCGGATCGAGACCCGAGGCAAGAAACAGTACCTGCTGAGGCTGAATGAAGAACGAGCTGGCGTCGTATGTTGCGGTGGTACCATCGAGCATGATGGAGTAGCCGAGGGTATTTGATTGTACCCCACCGAGGAGATAGACTGCCGAGGCATCTGCGTTCTAGCGTTAGCACCAGCAACAGCGAGTATGTGGAATAAAGCGTACTTGAGAAGGTATAGGTAGCGGTAGTACCCTGGTCATAGTCGCACGTTACTTGCCGATCCCCATCATAATCCCCACTCGTCGCGTTCTTGCTATCCCACCAGGCAGGAGAGGCGCCGGGTCCACTGGCATTGGAGGGAGCATATAGCCATCCAGTGGCATCGTTGTTGACATATTTTCGGGTTGGGGTATCCCTGACTATAGTCAATGCCATCTCTCATTGGAGGAGATAACAGGACACACCCGGCTTGGCCGACATCTAGCGACACCACTCCTCCGAAGAAGTTGAAACTTGATGTGAAATCGCCGACGCTAAGTTCAAGTGTGGCTGTATGCTGCTGCCCAGCACTCAATCCCGTAGCATATACCATGCTCTCAACGTTTGCTCCTCCTGATGTGAATGTTGAACATGCAGGATCTGAGGGATCACCTGCGATCGATACAGATTGCTGATCAACCGCGAAGGTGTAGGACGATGACGAGTGTGTGAAGCAGAGGTAGATCGCCGATCCTGTTCACCGAGGATCATCATCAACCACAGATCATGGGACTGGCGAACGGAGAGGCGCACCGGTAAACTGGATCTGTGCGATCGCCCCTTCAAACAACGTGGTCCTGTATGGTACTCCGCTACCCCACAGATTTGTCGAATTCCACACCTTGCTCCCAGTGTACGATGCGTTCCATCCTTGCTGTGGTGGACCATCACGTTGAGGCTGGTATCTTGGATATATGAGCGTACGGTCAAGATGAACAGAACAGACGTACGAGAAGAGGGGCGAGGACGAGGAGAGGGTTAGATTGTACTGAGGCACAGCAGTTGCATTGCTGCTCATGGTTTCGCGTGAGACTAAGGTGATAACCAGAGAATCCGGTGAATCGGACGGTCGAGATCAGGTATCACTTGATTGTAGAGAAATCGTATAGAATAATATCGTAATGATCGTGAACCGCCAAGCGCGCTATTGTTGACTTTCGTGCTCGCTGTTGACCACTTAACCGATGCCCTCACAGAGATGAGGCAGAAGTGAAAAGCCTGCAATGAGCTGCGGACAGAATGGCCCTGCCCAGGACGTGCAAGGCCACTCTTGTCGCTTCCGCAAAGGCACGTTATCCCGGAGAGATGGGCGATAAAGTCGGAGAAGCAGAGAAAGCGGTCTTTGTTCCGCTTCCAACTGAATAGACGGCGTGGCAGAGAAACACATGTGATGTAACCCTAAAAGACTCCGCTCAGGGTCTAGTCAACTCCACAGCCTCAGCCAGTTGACAATTAGTACACATCTCTAACCTCAACAGCACGGGCACTCAGCTGGTGAATTGCACGCAATGCAACGTCCTTCTATCTGTCATGAGTTCAATCTTTGTCGTGCCCGTGGAGCTTTGGTGGATGATCTGGTCGCTCCTTCGCGACCTTGACTTGTTGCGGCTGTCCCAGGTGAGTCTCTAACGCTGCTTCTTTGTCGGCCTTGAGCTGATTGTTACACACTCCAGGTCAATCGCTATCTTCGTAATCTTACTACGGACATCTTGCGCTCACGTCTCATCGATGGAGTGAACGCGAGGTATTTTCCGGTCCCGGAGGAAGATATTAGCGTTCGCGACATGACGGATTCGCAGATCCGGGAACATCTGTGGGCAACAGCATGTTCTTGACCACGGAACGGTTCAAGCGGTGATTGCGGCGAGACGATATTGGCTGCACGGCTCATCTCGCTTCCCCGGCAACACGCGACATGGTGCGCGATGATGAAGGGTCGGGTGATCGTCGGAACACACGAGGGAGATCTGTTGTGTTTTTCGTACATCGAAGCTGCCGCACTTCGAGGAACGGCTCGAGTGTTTCCCCGCACCTTGGGAACGGCAGTCGAGTTGAAGAGCGGTGTCCCCGAACTCAACAGGCGTGGGGAAGCGCTCCGTGTCCTGTTCGAGCTCCGTGTCGTGATGCCGTCCAAAGAGCCAGCAAGCTATATGCGCCTGATGGGGACTCACCAGATCATTCCATAACATTTCCTTGCCCCAGGAATGATTGAAAACGAAGTTCCTCTCATCTGACACACCCAGCACGGGGAGATTCTCTCGTGTCATGTTTCGAGCCTGTTTCAACTATTGTCGCAGGGGCAAGGCGTGAAGAACGGTCAAGGTGCGCACGTATGTTGTGCCCAAGACCATGGCACCTCTGACCTCATCAAAGGCCAGTGGAGTACAATCCACGAGGTCACTCTCCGGCCTCCAGATTCCAGATCTCTGCAGCTGGTTCTGATACCGCTCGTGGTCGGTGTCTCTGTCTTTTGGGTGAGGACGGCGCGTGTCACCTCTCCATCTTCGATCCAGACCGCTTCCAATCCTGAGTTGCCAGCTCGGAGGCCAGATATTCGATGCTCGGGAGAGATGTTCAATTTCGGTCCGAGTTTGAGAGAAACGAGCGGTGGACTTCCTGGACTGGACTCTTCAACGAAGATGTGGTATCGTTGGATGCACGTATGGTATCGTCCAAGGAGCCCAATGTGAGCGGTTATCATAGCACGTTCATCGCTTGGCGCCTCACTCCTGTCCTCTAGAGTCCTTATGCCGACCCCTCATCCCACATCTCGGCCTGCCAAAGCATGTGCACCATCGGAATGCTGGTGGAAGTCGCCATGTGCGTTAAGCCACGCGGTTGAGCATCGATGATACGATTAGCCGCACTCAGTTGCGCTACCAGCACAGCACGGTCCAGAATAACGACCAGATAATCGTGAAAAAATGAGGCGGCTAGGACCTGACACTGGCCAAATCTGTGTGAGTCTCTTGACATTAGTGTGCATACAAAACTGGGTGCCTACCAAACGTGGTGTTTCAAGTACCAGCATCGCGTCCTTCCCAATGTTGTACATATGCAACAGTTCAGCTCCCTTCCATTTCTTGGCGCATACCCATGGACCACGCAGTGCAAGGGGGCCAGCATTGTTCACCAGCGTAGACAGTTCGTGCACTTGTAGCTGCTCGGGTGCCAGCCGGACTTCTACTCTCCTCGCTGTCTCGACATACCAATGAGATTCTTGTAGCGTGAGTCATGGAAGAGACGAATACTGAATCAACTGGACGAAAATAGCATACGGGAATGGGGTGTTCGATTGGAGTCCCTGCCGCCGGGGTGCGTGAGGGTAGAGGAAATGGAGAGGAGGCTGCTCGAATATCCTGACGGTTACCTGCACATCGCCATTCGCGGCCTGCATCTCCCTCTCCGATCCAAACCAGTCGCCTTCGATCCCCCTTGCGAACTTATCTTTATGATTGCAGCAGCAACATACCTGATCTTCATAGATGTCGGCGAGGATGAGACCGAATACACGTGGTTCCTACGCTACTCTGAATTGGGCTTAACCGACTTCCTGAAGGCATTTCGCGTCGGTCAGATCCAAATGGAAAGATCACTATGCTACTGCTGCATGCTCGACAGAGATGCGTTGGGACATGATGAAGCATGGTTTGATGACTGGGACGTCGCTTGGCAGGGCTTACAAGGAGGTGGAAACTGGATTCCGTATGCTGTTGTGGACTGTTTGAAACGATTGTGCCTCTAGGGCTTCGTGTTGTTCTCACGTTTCATTGTCATTTAAGCTGCATTCATAAATGCAGCAATAGCATCAATGCATTGTAGAATGCGGTGTCACGACGAGGACCATGACCAGGAAAAGGAATTAATTGAAGGAGGGGTGGCTGCGCAGAAGCATCGGAGGAAAAAGGAAGTAGTACTCTCCGGGAAAGGATAATCTGCTTCAGCATATTAATATCGGTATTTTTTGCTCCAGCACCGGACTCTGGAGGAATTGAGTTGCTGCTTCAGCAGAGCGGCAGTTGTCTCCGCAGGTGTACTTTTGTCAACGATAAAGAACCTTACAACGACCGATAGCAAAATGGCTTAGTCATACAAAACGCGGCGTAAGCCATTCTCCACGTGCCTGTAACGGGTTTATCGTGTGGCAGACGCAGTCGTCCGGGCACTTCTTCAACGTGCCTCTCCTGCCCCAGTTTGAAAGATAATGAGCTTTCAGGCGCCAGTTATTTATGGCTACCGATGGTCGTTGATGTCGGCATCTCTGGGACTCCCTCTTGTACCCCTCCAGACACGTTGCCTAACCGTACGCCTCGCCCACCGCTCCAATCAGCTGTCACCTGTACTCTTTGCAATTTCGGTGTAACGAGTTGGGTTCTCACACGCGGGATTGGATGCTGCGTTGTGGGATTTGCTCTATGCCTCCGGGATAAGCGCTAACACGATGCCAAGGTATAATAACCTAAGAACTGTCAGAGCGAAAGATCCCTCCAACCTTAGCACCTCAAGGCGCCTGCGACACCTCCTCATCCATACTCCTTCGGTCAGATGGCTATGATGAGCGAACCCTCACCTAAGGAGACAAGACTCAGCGCGTCTTTCAAGAAATGGATGGCGAAGGGGACATCAGGCGAGTGGCCTCTCCAACAAGCGCTCACATCTACAACTTGGAAAGTTCTCGGGTTGGAAGGGGTACGCGCCATGTACCACTTCAGCTCTCGCGGGAGTTCACACGTTCTACAAACAGCTGATGGAACAAGAAGACGAATATCAAGAACTCGTTGACAGACTGGCCCACCTGAATGAAGAAGTCCTTGACCGAATCCCTCCAAACGCTGCAATGAGTGCCACGGCGGCTAAACAAACGGAAGCTCTCAAGACGTTTGTACCCCTCCTGTCTCTAGAAATCATGTTGACGTTGCTGTAGGATTGTGACTGAAATCGAAAATTCTGTGGAGCTGCAAAAACGTATGCCTCTCCATGTCCGTGCCAATCTGAATCAGTCCGAATCGAGACGGCGCCTGCGGAGCAAGCTGGACTCCGTGACTATAATGCTTACTGTACGCTCGTTATCATGAAATCCATTGATTATTGCTAAATCAGTATTTGTTAGCACCTCTGGCTGGAGAATGCCTCTGGGCGAATAGAGAGGCTCGAAGACGTGCGTGCCATCACACTCAAATTGCGTGCACATGCTCACAATGAAAAAGATTGCTCGCTTGCCCTTATCCCCCACGTACGCCCCCTCGGCTATGTGTATGCAGCCTTCTAACGTATTTCCCACTGGCAGGTCCCCCACTCGCACCCTTCCTGAAATACCTCCCAAGCCATCGATTTTCTGTGGCAGGGACGATTTGGTCAACAGAATAGTTCAACTTTTACTCCAGCCTACGGCTTGCCACATACCACTGCTTGGACCAGGAGGAATCGGAAAGACGGCTGTTGCTGCCGCAGTGATGAATGACCCTTTGGTTAAGGGGAAATTTCGCTTCCGGATTATATTTGTCAGCTGCGAAGGTATCATCTCAGCCGAAGGCATTATCCAAGCCCTTATGGCAGCGCTGGGCTTGCAAACAGACTCCAATGCTCGCCAGATGGTGCTCGCAAACCTGGAGGAGCGAGGCACCAGCCTTCTGGTTCTCGACAATCTCGAAACTGCATGGGCCTCAGGGGACCAAATCAATGTGGAGCACCTGCTGGCCAAGCTCGCCGGGATCGATACTCTATCCCTCATCATCACAATGAGAGGGGCGATTCGACCATGTGGTATCCAGTGGGCCGAGACTTGTAGCGAGCCTCTCGGCACACTTCACATCTCGGCCGCTCACCAGATGTGGAGAGGGATTGCTCATAGGGAAGGTCCTGGTCTGGACGAGCTTCTGGGGCTCCTTGACGGACTTCCGCTGGCAATCCACCTGCTAGCTCGTCAAGGTCAAGTCATGAATCCCGAAGAACTCCTCAATGGCTACCGAGCGAAGAAGACAGCTCTTATGAAGAATGGTTTTGGTCCACTGGCAAACCTTGATGCATCGATTCAGCTCTCATGGGACTCACCACTCATGTCGGATAGCCCAAACGCACGGGCACTTCTTCCTCTTCTCTGCCTCCTGCCGGACGGCATACCAATCCATTCTCTTCCTCAACTATTTCCCTCTATGTCCGACACCCAATCGACTGCAATCATACTGTTGGAGGCTGCATTAGCTTTGAAGGAGCCTACCGGGAGACTGCGTGTGTTGTCTCCCATTCGCGACTTCATCCTTTGCCACTATCCCCCATCGGGATCATGGCTACACGAGCTTCGAACATACGTCCAGAATCTCACCCGGAAGATGCAGACATCCAAAATTGGCACGACCGAAGGTAAACAAGCGGTGAACCTCCTAACGACCGAATTCGGCAATATCAATTCCGTCTTACTGCATTTTTGGAAAGCGCCACCTCACGACAGCGAAATCAGGGACCTCCTAGCTGCGACGGGCCAACTTGCCACCTTTTCTCATCTAGCCAGCTGCGGTGATTGCACACAATTGGTCATGGAGGCAAGATTAAGGCTCGAAGAAATGGGTTATGCGCAGGGAGCAGCTGAATGTGCTCAGAGGCTGGGCGATATCCTGAGCAGCCATGATCGATACGACGAGGCAATTGAAAGCTTCAAAGGAGCAATGCGTATGTTTGACCTTACCGGCAATTTTTTGGCAGCGGCGCGTTGTATCCGCAGCATTGGTGATCTTCTGCGCATGCGTAATCGGTACCCTGAAGCCATCGCACATCTCGAGGACGCACAGGTCGTCTTCGATCGGAGGGGCGACGTTCTCGGGGCAGCACAGTGCACGCAAAGCCTTGGTGACGTTCTTCGTATGATGGGGTACTACAAAGGAGCTATCCAAAAGCTCGAGCAGGCAAGGGGCTATTTATCGCGAATCACAAACCGCTCGGTGCTGCGCAGTGCATACAAAGCATCGGCGAAGTTTTGATTTCCCTCAAGGAGTACGATGAAGCCAATGAGCGGTTAGAGATGGCCAAGGACACGTTCGACGATATCAGACATCGGCTGGGCGCAGCGCAATGCGCACGAAGCCAGGGCGACGCCCTGCGAATGCTTCGGCGATACCCAGAAGCGATCACGAAGCTCGAGGAAGCACGGGTTGTCTTCACAGAAATTGGAAACCGCTTGGGTGCCGCGCAATGCAACCTTGTCATCGGAAACGTGCTTCGCATGCAAGGTCGATTTGAGGAGTTTCTAGAGCGACTAGAGGCTGCGCGCGCGATGTTTCGCGTGATCCGTGACCGCCTAGGCGTCGCCGAATGCAACAAGTCCCTACCGTCTATCCTGATCAAGATGGATCGCATCGACGAGGCTTCATCCATACTTCAAGAAGCGCTCTCGATCTATCAAGACCTTGGGTTGGTGAATCAGGTGGGATACTGCGAGGATGCGCTGAAGGGGCTCCAATTTCCTGCGTTCACCAGGACGCGTTCGCGGTCAGTATCAGCCCCACTGCCCCCATCTTCAAGGGAATCGCCGAGGACAATGGCATCTCATCAGTTGTTCATGCTGTTGCGGACAGTCATTCGCTGGAAACATCGTTGATACGTGGCTCTTCTTTCTACCGCTCGGATCGTTGCACGAAGGTCAGTGAGTGTGTTCCCGAGGCTAGCTGTGTTGGGTCTTGGTGTTGGCGCCGAGCATGTACTTTATTGCCGAAGATTTGCTTGCCATAGATCATCATCAGTCGATATCACCGAAAGAATGTGTACATCAGCGTGTCCGGACCGACAAGATGAGAGTGGTTTGTCGAAAAACTGGCATGTGGTTGAATGCCATGTGCGGAGTCTGGCGCGAAACCCGGTATCAAGCATGACCCACACGCACTGTGGGAAAACTGGTCAGCTAGTCTAGTCTTACCAAACCCAAACAACGAGCTTGATGGCCAGAATGCCATACGAAAACACGGTGGAAGTTGCGAGAATATATAAGGCGGCCGAGATGTTCAGGTACGCATCACGGACTGTGATGAGGTATGTGGTCCATTTGCATGCGTCTCCTTCAAAGGGCGCTTTTTGCATTTCCCTACCAGCGTTCGTTCGGCCCTCCTGATGCAACATCCTTCATCCATTCTGCAGACGGTTGGTCAAAGAATGCGCCCTCTTTCAATCCGGATTTCCACTGATTACGCTAGTGACCCTTGTTCCTGTGCATGTATTTTCCCGTATGCAAAAACGTCACTCTCACTGGAATGTTGTGGCTAGAATCATCAAGGACATTCCCGAACGCCCGATTGTGTCTCCCGAACGTCCGGCCCTGTCTCCCGAATGTCGGGACCAAAAGGGACGAAGACAATCCCTGAGCCGGTAACCCTCCTTGGGAATGTCGTCCCATTTCGACGGACATTCCCTTGTGCACTGTGCTGTACATCCCCTATCGACTATTCCGACACAGGAGTAGAGCGCTGACAACTGGCTTGCTTCTGCAGAACAATGCACGTCGGTATTACCAGGTAATGGTATTTATCCATTGACTTCGTCACTCCCGACTTAACGGATTGCCAGATCCACACACTGCGCTGTGCGATGTTGAGTCAATCGACCGTCATCCAAGCATCAGCAATGCGCTCTGTAATTGCTCTTAACCCCTCGATCGCCTGTCTTTCCGGTTGGCGCTGAGTCATTCGCCATTCTTCATGCAACCCTCGTCGACCGGGTCGAGAAGTCGTCTATCCTCTGCCTTGAGGCAGTGGAAGACTCGCACAAGTAGCTCAATCAACCCTATGAAAGACAACGTTGAGCGAATGACGCTGAGCGTCCTTGGAATCTGGGATGTAAGCTCGTCTCTCCGTTCCTGCGTGACTATGTCTGATGCACTCTCTCTAGCTCGTTGACAATCATCAGAAGGACTGCCAGGAGCTTGCAGGGCGACTGACATTGATCTCCGAGCAGGTTCTGAAGCGAACTTATACGGAGACAGACCAAGAGGATAATGAGCAGATTAGGCGCCTGATTGAGGCACTCAGGGAGTAAGTCCCCTATCTATCTCTTGCCCAGCTCATTTTCCTAATACGACATAGAGTGGTACCGGAAGTGGAAACATACCTTCGAAAGCAGCGTGGAGTTCGAGGTGCACTCGCGAAACAGACTTCCGCAGAGGCGGGGAATGCCCTTCATAAGAGACTAGATGGGCTCATGCTGGAGTTTGCGGTGCGAGCAGAGAAGACAGCTCTTCTCGCGCGTGGTGGCCCGGAGGGAAGACTTACTCGATTGGACGTATCCATCCAGCTGTCGCTCTCCTCCCATTCGGTTTGCGCCAACCCGGCGGCCCTACACCTGCTGTCCCTTGTATGTCTGCTCCCTGACGGCGTGCCTGTCCGTGACCTTGCACAAATCCTGTCCTCTATGAAGAATACGAGACAAACAGCACTTGTCCTGCTTCAGGCTGCATTTATCGTCCGTCCTGAGCCAGGGCTGAGGATCAAAGCCCTCTCTCCCATCCGCGACTTTATCCTCCTCCGGTACCCCCCTTCCGGCCCTGCCCTGGAAGAAGTCCGCCACCACTTCATGGCGCTCGCTTCACAAGCTGCGAAACTCGGTTCACATGACTCAAGACATGTGGTCGACTCTATCTCTGCCCAGTTCGGGAACATCAATGCTGTTCTCCTGCATGCTTGGCGTTCAGCTCCAGAGAAGGAACCTCAGAGGAATGAGCTACTGCAAGCGACCGAACACTTGGCGCAGTTTTCCCATGTCGCGAGCTACGGGGATTGCATGCCCCTTCTTGGGGAGGCAGTCGCCTTTTTGGACAAGACTGGGAACCTGAGAGGGGCAGGTCTGTGCCGGAAGCTGATGGGCCATCTCCTTGGTCGGCAAGATCGTTATCCCGAGATGTTTAAGGTGCTTGATGGTGCGATTGCTGCCTTCTTGGATGTCGACGATCAGCTTGGAGTTGCCCAATGTACCTACACGGTGGGTGGTGTACTGCTCATGCTCCGTCGGTACAGCGAAGCCGTCGTCAAACTGAAGAAAGCGAAGACAACTTTCGAAGCTGTCGGGAATCGACACGGCGCTGCACAGTGTACCCGTAGCATGGGGGATGTACTTCGGATGCTTGGGCGGTTCGAGAAGTCTATCGTAGAACTTCAAAGCGCGAAAGCGACACTCAACGAACTGGGTGACCGGCTTTGGGTCGCGCAATGTACACGGAGTCTAGGAGACGTTTTTCGCATGCAGGAGCAGTTCGAGCAAGCTGTCATATTTCTCGAAGAGGCTAGAGTCGAGTACGAATCCGTCGGTAATCGGCTGGGGGCGGCACAATGCGTCCGCATGATCGGCGACGCGCTTCGCATGCAACGTCACTACGACAAGGCCCTCACAACTCTCGAGGAGGCAAACCTCGAATATGATGCTATTGGTAATCGAATGGGGGCTGCACAATGCATGTTAAGCATCGGTGAAGTGCATTTCATGACACAAACATACGATGCTGCTCGCGCAACGCTAGAAGAGGCCAACTCTCGATTTGTCACCATCGGGTATCGATTTGGCATTGCAGAAAGTAGCAGGTTACTTTCTCGAGTTTACTTCGCCCCCGACCACAAGGCAGAGGCAAAGCTGCTTCTACAAGAGGCGTTGCAAATATTTGAAGATATGAGGCTCATGGAAGAAGCGCAAGCTTGCGCTGCAGAAGTGAAGGTGAGCGAGCAATAGATCCGAGTCAGGACATGTGCATATTTTAGGATGGACTCTAGCAGTCTTTCCAAGCGGTCAGGACGCTCCTCGTGATTTTACTCCCAACTTCACCCATTTGTAGGCATTCGGCCCCAGGTGCTCAACGTAATATGAGATGTTTCCGGCAGTTTTTGTCGAGTTCCTATCACCTTGTCCATTCGTCGGAGATCCTCCCGCACAACCTGTCACCTCTGTGCCTTATACGAGCAGGGAAAGTTTCTTTGAGAAGCGGATTTTTGTCGTAACAGGATGACCACAACCAAACATCTCGAAACACCCCAAATATGGACGAATTGGAGCTGAGTCAGCAAAGCACCGCCACTGTGAACTGATTGTCACTGGTTTGTTACAACGAACGACGAAGTGGCTCTCTGCTTTAGCTCGAAGCAATACTGACAGACTGAGCCTCCACCCCGAAGAATAATACTGCCGTATTCTCCGGGCGTATTCACCGACAGATTGAGGGAATGGAAAACCGACCAAAATTCGAGAAAGCCCTTCCCGACCTGACCGAGAAACAAGCGGCATTCACCTCCAGCAACCGGGAAGGGTGCGAGGCAGAGTTTAGCGATGAAGAGATCAGACGGAAGCTCCTTGATAATCAGCGCAAAATCCAGGCATTGAGCATGGTGCGTGGCTCTGCCATCCTCGCTGATGCTGCGACGCTCAATGCTGTTAACTGTACAATAGGCGCCAGAGCGCAATATTCAGCCAGGTCACTCATTAACGAATCATTTACGTGAGATAACAGAGGAAGTTTTGGAATTTATGTCCAGCGGAGTAGTCTCTACTCGCTTTCGGCACGTTGTCGAAGAGCTCGACCAGTAAGTCCACCTCCGCGTGTACTCGCACTTTCTAATAACCAAACTTGAAGAGTAGGTCATCAGATCATATCCGTTCTGGAAAAGTCGTCCGAAAGGACTACTCTGAGCCGCTTAGTATATCGGCGTGGTATAGAGAAGGAGACTCTGCGCTTACATAACAAGCTTAGCAATCTTGCCCAATCAACCCACGTAAGCAGATCAGACCACGATCATAGGAGCATCAGCTAATATGAATCAAGATGGCGGTATTATTTTCATTTGCATTGTCGAAGAACAATGAAATGCACAATAAGGAGAATCAATTGCCGGTATGAAAGCCCCACTTTAAGCACTGATTCAAGTTGACACTTCACAGGCAGTGGAACGAACAGACACTAGGCAGCCCCTCGCACAGCTGGCGTTATATGCGTGTTGTCTGACTATGTCCTTAGTCGATCAAAACTCCCAACCTTCGAGCTCCCACCAAGGCCTCAGATCTTTTTCGGCAGAAGAAAAGAAATGGAGGCCTGTATCTCTGCTTTGCTCGCGCATGATAGCGCACACTTGTCATCGACGGGGCCCGGTGGGATAGGAAAAACCACCCTCGCAATCGCGGTGCTTCATGACACCACTGTCATGCGCAAATTTGGCTCCGGACGCATGTTCCTCAGTTTGGACGGTGTCACCTCTCTAGATGGTTTTCTTTCATGCCTTCAGCGAGTGCTTCACCTCGGGGAGGCCGAAAATCCTCGCCAAATGATCGTTGAATACTTTGCATCTCTCCATGAGCATTTCTTGATTGTGCTGGATAACTTTGAGTCCCTGTGGGATACGGAAGAACAAAATGAAGTCGAATCGATCCTCGGAGAAGTTGCATTGAGTAATTATCTGTCGATCCTGGTGACAATGAGGGGGAATCTCCGTCCGACAGGCGTTGTTTGGTCGTCACCGGAGACAGGTTCACTCCAGCCGATCGGACTGGAGGACGCTTATCAGATCTTTGACAAGATCAGTCGTCGGAGCGAGCGTACCAACGCCGTCGACACACTATTGGGAATGCTAGACGGCCTGCCACTGGTAATCACACTCATAGCATATCAGGGGCAGATCCTCGCCATCGAAGACCTGCTGGAAGTATACCAGAAAGAGGCGGCTCGCCTTTTACGTCGAGGACGCGGTCGGCGACAAACAAGCCTGGAAGTTTCGATCGAAGTCTCGCTCAAGTCACTCACAATGCAAGACCACCCAGAGGCGTTGAAGTTGCTCTCTATCTTGTGCCTGCTTCCGGATGGTATGAAATATATCGCATTGAGCCTCGCAGTGCCATCCTTGGAATTGCCTGGAGAAGCTTCACGGACGCTCCAGCAAGTTGCATTGGTCACTGAAAACCCCGATCGACTCAAGGTGCTGGCGCCTATCCGGGAGTATATTTTGATGCAGTATCTACCAGATGTTTTTCATCTGGTGCAGGTGCGACATTATTATATCCGGCTTGCCTTCCAAACGACAAATGTTGGGAGAGCGCCCCTACCAGAGACTGTCGCTGTGGTGTTGCCAGAGATTGGCAATATGACCGCGGTACTGCTCCACGCGTGGCAGACTCTTGTTATGGACGACGATATCGACGTGTTATTAGATGCGACGAGGCAAGCTGCCAGATTCTCCCAGGTTACGAGTTCTGGTGATACACAGCGGCTTCTGAGTTGCGCCAAGCAGACCCTAAGAGCAATTGGCGCACAATTGAGTTCAGCCAAATGCGGATGGAGCCTTGGAGAAGTCCTGCGGATGAAATATCGGTATGAAGATGCTATTGCAACATTTGAAGAGGCCAGAATCCTGTTTGATGCGAACGATGATCGTCTGGGGCTAGCACAATGCAGAAAGAGTATAGGACATGTACAATTGATGGAGGATCGACATGACGAGGCAATCGTGAATTTGCAAGAAGCCATGACGGTCTATCGCGAGCTCGGCGATGAGGATGGGGTAGCTGAGTGCGCTATCAGGATAGGCGACGTATTGCAGATACAGCATCAACACAAGAAGGCGCTCGCGCAGCTCGAGACCGCGAAGGCCATCTTTGATGCCATTGGTAATCGACTGGGCACTGCGCATTGTGCCCAGAGCATAGGAGACGTGCTGAGGATGGATAATCGATACGAAGAGGCAGTCCAACGCTTCGAGGAGGCCCGCACGATATTTGAAGCTCTAGACAATCCACGCGGAGCAGCGCAGTGCATTCTCCGTATAGGAGATATCCTCCGTATCCTGCATCGGTATAGTGATGCTACTGCAAGATTGGAGCAAGCGAAAAATATGTTTGAGGTCATCCATCATCGACACGGCATTGCGCAATGTTTGCAGCTCCTCGGCAGCGTTCTGCTCATGCAGGGTCGATATGACGATGCGGTCGCAGACGTTGCACAGGCGAAGGAGGAGTTTGAGGGCACGAGCGACCGACTTGGAGCAGCCCAGTGCGTGTTGATGCTTGGTAACATCTTGCGTATGCAGAATCGGTGGACCGAGGCCGTAACCAAGTTTAACGAAGCCCGTGCTGTTTTTGAAGTAATCGGAGATCGACTCGGCGTAGCAAGATGCATCAAAGGCGTTGGTGACGTCCTGGTGATACAACATCGCCTCGAAGAAGCACTCGAGACCTTGGAGGAAGCGAGGAACGCGTTCGAAATTGCTGGTGATCAACTCGGTCTCGGACAATGTGTTCAAAGTCTATCTGATGTGTTGCGCAAGCAAGGACGATACGAGGAAGCGATATTGAGGTTACAGGAGGCAACGGCGATATTCTCTGGTGCAGATGATCGTCTTGGATATGCGCTTTCTGTCCTGCGCCTCGGGGAGATCTATCGCATGCAAAATCGATACGACGATGCGATGGCCAGGGTCCAAGAGGCTAAGGCTGTGTTCGAGCTCCTCGGACATCAGCTCGGCACGGCACAATGCATCAAGATTGTAGGAGATATCTTTCGCATGCAAAACCGCTGGGATGAAGCTGTTCCAATGTTGCAGAAAGCAGATACGATGTTTGAAGAATTGGGGGACCGTTTGGGCGCTGCTCAATGCAAATCGGCTCTGGGAGGGGTATTCGGTTTGCAAAATCGATATCAGGAAGCCGCAGCTGTGCTGCAAGTCGGAAAAGCACAATTTGAACCGATGGGTCACCAGTCCGGGGCGGCGCAATGCATGCGAAGTTTAGGAGACGTTCTGCACATGCAAGATCGCAATGATGAGGCGATCGAGACGCTGCAGAAAGCGAAGGCACTGTTCGATTCCTTGCACGAACAGTTTGACGCAGGGCAGTGTCTGCAAATTCTTGGCAAGGTGCTACGCTTCACACGCCGATGGGAGGAAGGAGCTAGTGCACTCGAAGAAGCAATTACAATCTTCCGCCAACAGCATCACCAGGTAGGGGTGGCAATGTGCAAGCAGGAGATTGCATCCGTACGACTAGGGCAAGGAAGAGCTGAAGTAGCGATGGCGGAGCTTGCTGAGGCGAGCACAATATTCAAGGCCTTCGACGATGGACTGGGAATTGCGAGGTGTATTGGTACGTTCGGTGACTTGTGTATTGTAGTTAGTCCGCCGTAGCCATACTCAATATATTCATTGCCGGAACATCCGTTTTACCGGCTCGCATGCGGTATCCGGATAACGCCCAACCGATATTGAGGGTGTGTCTTACTTGATTAGTTTCAGGTATCTTCCATGGTATTTTCCAATTACCACCTCCACATTCCTTTAGATTCTATATTAGATAGCTCATATCTCCCTGTAATGGGAGGCTGAACTCTCCCCCTTCAACCACTCTGTATCCCCTCTCTAGCTAGCCCCTCTTCTTGATATCCCATCCTCTTCAAGCATATCACTGTATATATACCACTATACCAATATACTGACATCCATTATCTGGAAGCATGCTCACCCATAGGAGGTTCACAAGAGAGCTTGATTAGACTATCTATTGTATCTATGGTACAGTAGGAGTCACATCAAGTGGAGCCCAACATGAGGCTCTCCTCTGTGATTTATTCCCAGGGCATGTCCTCCATTATCCAATACTGCATTCCCATCTTTGCAATCATTACTCATCATCAAACCATCATACCCAGCATCTAACATTGCAGTCCTTGTCATTACCACCACATTGTTTAACCACCATCCACTGTCATCACTTGTCATTATCATTATATCATTGTATATCATATACTCCGTCGTCCTCCATTGTATCCTCTGTCATTGTACCCAGCATTATTTCCATGGTCCTCATCATTACCACCATATCATTGCAGAATATTTGAGCTCAGATACTGCCGTTATCTCTTGGTGAACCTGCAGAGATACCAAGTTGCCCAACATAGTTCAAACAAGGAATTCCCAACTTCTGCAACAACTCAAAGAGTCTATCCAAACTGAAGAAGAGCCAGAAGAACAATTACTGAGTGATTCAGTATTTCAAGTTACCATTAGTATGCTGTCAGAAACCACATCCTTGCAAAACATGTTTGAATTACTTGATTCCAATATCATTGTACTGCCATCTACCAACCTTTCAGACCAAGAGCCTTCTGATCCTATTATGCTGCCACAAGTCAACCCCGAAGGAGATGTGGGTGGTCAAATGCCCCTGAGGACATCATGCAACACACTGAAACTAGAATCAAATGCCCCTACAGATCTACAGTGGTACTTTGATGATTTTGAACAGTGTGCAGAATCCAACAAACTCTCGGCTGGCCAATGCTCCAAATATGCTGCACGGTATACTCTGGCTGCTACCGAAGTGGTCTGGAAGAAACTACCATCTTTCAAAGGAGGCAATTATGACACCTGGAAGGCTGACATATACAAGCTATATCCAGGCACATCACAGGAAGATGAAATCTTTACCTATGTGGATCTTGAGGAATTCATGTGGAAATTGGCCATGGTACTGATGAGTACTCAAGCCCAATTGGGAGAATACATTTGTGCATTCCACCATATCACCAGGTCATTTGGTGAAGGAGAGCAGTTATCAGAAAGAGAGAAGAACTGCGCATTCATGCAAGGATTGCATATCAAATTCACAAGTCAAGTGCTTGCCAAACTTGCCATTGAGTTTCCCAAGCATCACCTGGAAATTCCATACCCAATGTCTGATGTACAAAATACTGCATCTTGGCTGCTTCACACTACCCCAGCTGACACACCTGTCATATCCCTTTCAAATATTGGGACAAATACCAGGTTTTCACCTCCAGGTACATCTTCGAATACCAGAACCTCAGGGGCTTTTCCACTCAAAGCTGAACCAGTGAATTCTACTACCACAGATACCTCAGTCAACAAGCTGGACAATATTGTCAATGTACTCAGCACACTGGTACAACAAGGCAGTTCACATTGGTCTTCAAATACCAGTAACAATTACAATATGAACAATGCATATGGTCAGAATACCGCACATAATGCAATTAACATGAACTCCAGTACACCATCCACCCAAACTTGTAATTGGTGTGGCCTCCCAGTGAATGTCCTGACATGGAAATTGCTATCTGTGATGGGTTCATTATCAGGAACCAAGACCACAGAGTGGTCTTGCTGATGGGTCAATATGTACCCACCACTATACAGGGCAAATTACTCTATGACTGTGTCCAAACATGGCATCAGCAGAATCCCAGAAATAAGACAGTGGAGATCAACTGACAAGGCCAAGGCCTGGTGCCAATTGGATTGTTTACCACAGCTGAACCACTCACACAAGCATTCGCCATGGAGACCCCAAATGCATTATTCACAGGTACTGAGGCAAAGGATACTGTGGGTCTACTATCACAAGAACAACTGGACCAAATCCATGCCTTACAAGTCAAAATCAGTCGAATCAGGAACTGTTCCCAACAGCAAGGTCCCCCAGTAGAGAGGCAGGTCACAGCACCTCAGAAGCCTGCCATGACAGATACTGTTACACACCACAATATACTGCCACATATGACATGGTCAGTAGATCCCATCACTGTTAAAGAGGAGGCCATAAAGCATGAAGACCCTCTGTCAGCCCAAGCCATTGTGGATTCAAAGAATGCCCAATGCACTCACCTATGAGCACCCATTGAACAAATGGCTCTCATTGATAGCATACTTGCAAACACACTTGATGTACCTATGACCTTGACATTCTTGGAATTGTTAGCAGTGTCTCCAGATGTCAGGAAAATGGTCAATTATCAGACATTGGTTTGCCGGACTCAACATGGAGCACAACCAGTTTTTCTACAACAAGATACTGATGGTATTGACACAACAGCTGCAACAGATGGTACATGCTCTGAGGTGGTACAGGAAAAAGATGTCCCCACATGGGCTCATACGCTGCATATCTCCAGCAATGATGCCCCCGCAGGCATGGTGGTTGGCAAAACCATTGTCCCCTTGCATGCCATCAAATTATTGGTTGGGGACAATGACATGAAATGCACAGGTGCCTTGACTCTGGTTCAGTATTGGTTGCCATGAATAACAATATGTGGAAAGACCTGAAAGTACCATATTATCCGGACTTGGTAGTCAACATGGAAAGTGCAAATAATCAAGCAACAAGCATGTTAGGATGTGTTTGTAACCTCTGTGTCACCACCAGACCTATATCTCTCTTCTTACAAGTCCATATCATCTGTGAATCACCATTTGACTTACTTCTCAGATGACCCTTCCTCACTTTGCTCAAGTGCCAATCCTTAGACCTATTGAATGGGGATCAACAACTAATGCTAACATGCCCCAATATTGCAATAACAATTGTTATTCCAACCTGGAACTGGGCTCCTTGACCCAAGGACTTGGATCTTCAGGATGACACCCTGTCCCAAGTGGATTTTCAGTAAACATCGATGAATTGAGAAAGGATCAATGAGATGTGTTTCTAATCCACAATACCACATCTACCATCAAAATACCGTCTATCACTACATTACCCTGAGCTTCATTTCTTGTCAACTATTATGAATACAACAAAAAACAACATATTCTAGCAGTGCATAAGTACAAACCAGTCAAATGGTGTGTCCAACCTGTGGCCACCACTCATCCCAAAAACCTCAAAATCCATTGATGGTTCCCTTCAGATCCATTGGAACATCTACTGGTAGTGCTGTTATATCTGCCACCCTTTCAACCTGGCATCCACCTAATGCAGGAACATTTGGACAACATGAATCTCAATGCAACAAAGTTCCTTTGGCCAGCCAAAGTCAACCTCATTAAATGGGTCCTACACACTCATGAGATGGCTTTTTTGTGGGATGAAGTCAAAATCAGGTGGTTTCACAGCAACTACTTTAACCTGGTTGTTTTCCCAACCATAGAGCATACCCCATGGCAGCATAAAAATATACTGCTTGCTCCGGCTCTATTAGACCAAGTCATTCAAACCATCTGCAAGAAGATCCAGGCTGGTGTGTTGATCCAACCCAAAAGGGGTCCGAAATATCAGGAGTCCAAATAAGTCAGTCTGATGGGTGGTGTGCAAGAACTCGCTAGGGAAAGAGGAGAGAGAGGGGAAAGTCAGTAAGAATGCAGGAGTCAGCCTGTAGCTGAGCTATCAAAAGTCAGTACACAATAATCAGAGCTCAGTGTCCATCCAGTCAAGTCATGATAAGTCCAGTCAAATCTGCTAAGTCAAGTCCAGTCTGCCAGTATACCAATAATCAGATCTGTATAAGTCTAACAGAAAAGGGGGAGAATAAGCTAGATACAGGAGTTTCTGGAAACTACTTATACTAGCTACTCTAAACTATACTCAATACTAATCTGGTCTCCAGATACCTCCCCAAGGCAGATGTTGGCATGCCAAATACCTGTGTGGGTCGATCCCATTGCAGAGGAGACCCGCAGTTGTCATGTTGAATATCTGGGTGGTCCCATCACCTGGGGAAACCTCATAGTCATCATGCCAAATATCTGGAGAGTCAAGACTTGTTGCTGGGGTGCATTGTCCTGCATAGTGAGGGTCCATAGTGCTGCGCAATGGTCTCTAAGGCCCAAAAATAACTGTGGGGAATACTGGCCTGACACACCCCACTGGAGGTGGGGTTGTTCATCCCCCCCAAACCTTGAATACTGACTCCCCAAGTCAGTGGGGCCACAGGTGATGTAATGCACAGTCAGGAACATGGTGCAGTACCACCAAATATTGAGTGAAGCAAGGGCAGCATTATCTAGGACCAATCATGAGACACTCTGTGGTAAGACATTGGGCCAGGCATTGGGGAGCTGGTAAAATGGCGGTGCTGATGTATTCAGTGAGGGGCAGATCAGTGGGCATTGCTGTGCATTTGGTGCTAAGGGTGGCTGGTCAGCATGTGAAGACCCTAAGTGGTGGCTTGCAGCACTGCTTAAGTCCGCAAGAGGGACCCTGACCATGTTTTGTGCATTGAGTTGCATGGTGCCTGAGACCCTGATTGGCCAATTTGTTGCTTTGCAAAGCCCAGTGTGGTGTTTATCTGTGCCACCTTAGCTGAAACAGTGTTCCAGATATTGGCACTTAGCAGAGCACTGGTGCATTTTTGTTGTCCATTGAGGTGCTCTCATGCCTATAAATGGGACCAAATTTCACCTTTCCTGTCCCCACAGATCTCAACCAAACCCCTGCCTCCACTTACTTGCATCCCCTGCTCCAATATCGCCAAGCCTACCACTTGCAAGTCTGCCACCAAGCCTGCACCACTAAAGGATGAGCATGCCACCATGCTCAAGACTGCTGCCACAATTGTTGCCGGCATGTGCGAAGACATGGAGGATCCCGGATTTTTGCCATTGGTGAAGTATTTGGATGTCAAGCCATTTGGCAATGCAGTCGCACTGCTCCTCAACAGTCCCCAGTCTGCCCTCATCTGCAATTTGCCTGAGAAGTGGGTCCAACTTTTTGGCCTTGACCAGCAAGCAGAGCTGGCTGCCTTGTCTGTGCTTCCCAGTGAGGATGAGGAGGAGGACAAGGATGAGAAGGAGTTCAAGGCAATGTTGTTGGGGTTTTTGGTATGTGTTTCCTTTTTTGCAAGTCAGTTACCCTTTTCTGACCCAAAATATACAGAGGTCCATGGTGAGCCTGGCCAGCCCTTTGGTGAAGGCCAAGAAGGCCAGGGCCAAGGCAAAGGAGATGACACCAGCAAAACCGGTAATGCCACATGTCAATGATGGTGCGATTGAGACACTGCCTACGACCAGGGCACATGGGAGGCCAATGAAGGAAGACACCCACAATGTGGTAAGTTGGCTGTTTTTTTTTTTTTGTGCTTAAATATGCTGACTGAAATATCACAGGGGTGGATGCTGGAAGAGATGCTGGTAAAGGTGTTGCTGGCGACAATGGATGAAGTGGTGAGAGAGTTGTCTTCAGCAGAAAACTGCATGAGTCGGTCTGCCTTATTGTGCTCTTGGCATTTTGCTGATGCATATTTCAGACAGTGTATGTTGTGTCGCAAGCACACCATCTTCAAAGATGGTGTGGTGTGCCATGAATGCAATATTGCGGAGCAGCCCAACAAGGTGGTTTGCTTGGCATGCAAGGCAGCAAAAAAGCCTTGCAGCATGCTGAACAACCCCACCTCAGGTGAGGTGTGTCAGGCCAATATTCCCACAGCTATTTTCGGGCCTTGGAGACTGTTGCACAGCACTACAGACCCTCACTACACAGACAACACACCCCAGCAACGAGTCTCAACCCTACCTGGATATTCAGCATGACAACTATGAGGTTTCCCATGCAACAGGACAACCTGGATATTTGGCATGATGACTGTAGGTTTCCTCTGCAACAGGGTTGACCCACATGGATATTCGGCATGCCAATGCCTGCCTAGGAGAGGTATCCAGAGACCAGATTGGTATAGAGTGCCGTTTTTAGTAGCTAGTATAAGTAGTTTCCAGAAACTCCTGTATCTAGCTTATTCTGCCCCTTATTGGTTAGCATTATATGGATCTGATTATTGGTATACTGGCAGACTTGACTTGACTTAGCAGATTTTGACTGGACTTATCATGACTGGACTGGATGGACACTGAGCTCCAATTATTGCATACCAACTTTTGATAGCTCAGCTACAGGCTGACTCCTGCATTCTTACCAACTTTCCCCTCTCTCTCCTCTTTCCCTAGAGAGTTCTCACTCACCACCCATTGGACCAATATTTTGGACACCTTTTGGGTTAGATCAGTGTGCATAGGTATGCCATTTTTCTTTTGCTTTTATTGACCTTGACTAACTTCCTTTCAGCATGTATCAGGAAAGTGATGGCTCCACCTCCAGCACCTGTGGAGGAGCTTTTCTGCCTGGAGACTCCTGAGCTGGTTGAGGAGACTGCCAAAAAACCTGCCAACAAGAAGAAGCAGAAGCCCAAAAAATGTGAGCAGGAGGACGACAAGGATTCGCTTGGGCTGTCACAAAAGCAGTCCTGCCTTCTGTAGGCCAGTAAGTGCTTTCCCTCTGCAGTATTTATTCGGGCCATGCTAACTGAACTTGTAGAGATTGAGCCACTGGTTGTGCCACTCCATATGGTGGAGCACAAGATGCTCAGACCTGCAGAAGAGCCTGCTGATGGCTCAAAAAACAGTGGATGCATTGCAGAAAGCAGTGGACATGGGAGTGGCCTGGGCTGATCAGATCCAGACTCTTCTGGGGAGGGCTCTGACTGAGTAAATTGGCTTTGCCTTTCTTCTTTTGTTTTCTTTTTCCTGTTTCATATTTTTGTCTCATAGTCATAATCATAGCATAGTCCTGTCTTTGTGTGCTCATAGATCTGAATTTCACCTTAAGCAAAATTTGTGGTAGTACATCTTGTTGGCCCAATATTTGTTGCAGAGTGCTTCAAGTTGTGACTTCAATGTTTTCACATGGGTAATTTGGATCTCATGCAGGTCATAAGAAATTTGCAGGTATTCTGGTAAGGACTGTTTTGTTGCCATACTACTGAGTCCACCTGTGGACTAAGTAGATATATCTTGGGGAAACAAAAAAAATGAGGGATGATTTCAGGAGGTAAGGCATGCGTGGTTTGATGAGCTTGTGGGTATAAGGCCTGTGCTATTTATTTGGGGTCAGGCTCAGCGGTAGTCAACAAGATGTCTTTCACAGTTTGGAGGATATTGGCAGATGTCTGCTGCAGAATATCAGTGAGGGTAAAGGTGCACTCAGATTGTTGGTGGTAGGGATAAACTCAGAACTGGGCAATCCTGGCTTTGAGGATGGCTCCATCCAAATCAGCAATCACGTAACTGCCATGGGCAGTACATGTAACAACAACCATAGGTCCAAGAAATCAGGGCTTTGATTTTTGGTCAAGTTCCTTCTCTATCTGAGTATTGCAAATGAGGACCAGGGTGCCAGGTTTAAAGTCATAATCGGCAAGGATGTGCTCATGGTCTGCCTTAAATCGGTCAGCCATTCATAGGTGGGCCTGGTGAACCTTCTCCTGGAGGTCAGATAAATCGGACTCATGGTGCTCAAGCTGTTGGTTTTGGTAGGCCAGCTTGTCACTGTCAGACATAGTGTCAGGGCACCAGCTCATTGCTTGGTCAAGAGACATGACTAAGCCTTTATGACATGGAAGTAGCTGGTATACCTTGGCATGTGCTGGAACCT